TAAACAGTCAAATTTTTTAACTCTTAAATATTAATGATTATATTATAGGGAACACTTAACCATAGTTCATCTGTATATGGTTATACAACAGTAAGAGGACAGTTTTTGTTTCTGACCTTTTTGAACAGGTAAAGGAACACATATTTGATAACATTTGTTACCAACAGGAATGTACACTGTTTGTTAACCTATTTTTAACCCAGTGTTATTTTGTTCCCAGATAAAGTGTCACATAACAGGGGACAGGGTTTATAATTTTGATATAAAAAGTGGTTAATATGCCACCTAAGGCTGTTGTTGTACTAATGCAAAAGTACATTAATAATGATTTATGATAGGCAAAAGTTTAAAAACTGTACTGTGCATTCTTATCTATATCTTAAGGTAAATAAAATTGAACTTAAAACCCAGACAGGGATCATTACAGTCACCTTTGTCTAGTATTGGTTTATATAATGTTTATGGCCACCTATTTAGAAATGGTATTTAACTGAGTTTTATTTGACATGGCCAGTAAAGATTTTATGCTCTACATTTTCAAAGAAAAAAAGCTGTTGCTGCACTGTTATGCTTTGACATGGCCATTGCCAATGCTGTTGCCATCCAAAAAACTTTAATGTTGGTCTTATAATTTGTTTTCTTGCTCAATGGATTGCATTCATACTTGGACACAATATATCTTTGGACAAGACACTGAACTTGACCTTCACTTATAAATGACTTTACCCTCAAGGTAAAATGTTTGAATTTTGCTGATTTTTGCAATAATTGGCTATGACTTTATTTATTAATTGATTGTCCTCATACTTGAGCAGACTACTTTAAGGACAATGTCTATACTTAAAGAATGTCAAACTCAGACCTTTACTCATAAATGACATTGACCTTGAAGGTCAAATTATTGAAATTCATAGTTATTTGCTATACATGGAATTGTAATTGGCTTCATACTGGACAATTAAGACTTTAAAGAAGATATAATTGAACATGACCTTGATTGACCTTGACACTACATCTCAAATAAGTGAATGTCACAACAATTGGCCATGTATTTGTTATTGATCAATGAATTTGTTTTATACTTGGGCAGAAGCATTTATTTATAAACATGAGTGACATGTAAAGTAATTAAAGAATGACATTGACCTTTAAATGACCTTGACTGTCAAGGCCAAATATGTAATTTAGGTTAGATTGTCATAACTTTATTTTATATTTACAAATTTGATTTATACTAACAGAAGAACACAGATGACAAAAAAGACAATTTTAATTATTCTTAAATGACAAAAAAAGTCACATTGACCTTTAATGTATCTTTACCATCTAAGTTAGGTTATTGAATTTACTTAAATTGTCATTACTTATTGTTTTATGGATTATTTATATAAAGATATGATTCATTCATGGACATAAGAACACTTTCGACAGAACTGACCCCCACTTGGCAGCAACTCTTGTTATACTTTCTGATGTAGGTCTATCCCAATCACTTGTGTGGAAAATCTTCTTAAAAGGTTTAAGACCCCAGCTCATTTAATTTTTACGCCCTCTTCCCTTTTTGGGTGTATTTTTGTTTTCGCTCAGTATCTAGAAAAAATATGATGGACAGCCTCTAAATCTTCATATGCTGGTTGTCATTATTTATCAGATGGATTGGCCTTATGTGCACTAAAGGTCATGGTCACAGTGACCTTGAACATGAAAACTTTGGCTTAATAACTAAGATCCATTTGTATCTTATTCATCAACATAAACTTTTGCCAAAACAGTGCCTCTGTCACTGTTAATTACTACTAATTATCAAGGTTGTGGAGGGCCTAGTCATGTCATATATGTAAAACTCAAAATGTTCTTTGTGATTGGCACTTTATTGACACAGTTTTACAATTGGCCATGCAGACTCCCAGACTGCAGTCACTGTGTCCTGTGTTATTGATGAATTAAGGAACAAATATTTTACAACTCGGGTGATAATAAATAGTTCATTTTACAGGCCAGTCATCAAAAACCAAGGATTCTGGTAAGCAGAGTGTATTTAAAAGCGCTTGTTTCTTCAGCAGTGTGAATAAAGTTGCAGTTTTGTGTCTATTTTTAGCATATCTATTTTTAGCATACCTATTTTAGCATATCTATTTTTAGCCAGAATTTATACAGCAGATGCAAATGGCTTGCTTTACAGTGGTGCTAATTTTCAGATGTGGACAAATTCCCGAACAAAGAGGTCAAATTATGTTTTTAGAAAAGAAAAAAACTGAATTGCACATGGTATTTTAACCAGACTTTATATGGGGAGTTTGTCCATATATTATGAGCTGAAGTTGTGCATTTTATATTACCATATTTTGAAGGTCTTGGACTTGTAATTATATATTATTTTGCTTTTTTGCATGGTTGATGATCTAGAAACTTTTATCAAGGAATTATTGCTATTATAAATTATTATCCACAGAGACAGGAAGCAGAAAAGACAGCAAATGAAATTTTATTTTTAGATAATGTGTCTTAAAATATTGGAGCTATCCCTCAAGGTTATGCAAATGCTTTGTTTTGTTTTCTTTTTAGCTCGACTATACGAAGTATATGGAGAGCTGTCCTACTCGCCCCGGCGTCGATGTCGGCGTCGGCGTCCGCGTCCAGATTTTAGATTAAAGTTTTGGTGCAGTAAAATATTTTTCACTATAACTTTGTCATTTCTTAAGGTATCAACTTCAAACTTCAAATATATGTTCCTTATCATCAACCACATCTTATGTGACAAGGTTCATAACTCTAGCACCAATATTTTTAGATTTATCTCCCCTTGAACTTAGAATTTTCCTTAAAAAATACTATTTTTTACTGTTACTTCTTTATTTCTTAAGGGATCAACCTCATACTTCAAATATATGTACCTTATCATCATCCCCATCTTATGTGACAAGGTTCATAACTCTAGCACCAATATTTTCAGATTTATCTCCCCTTGAACTTAGAATTTTCCTCAAAAAATGCTATTTCTTACTGTTTCTTCTTTATTTCTTAAGGGATCAACCTCATACTTCAAATATATTTACGTTATCATCATCCCCATCCTATGTGACAAGGTTCATAACTCTAGCACCAATATTTTCAGATTTATCTCCCTTTTAACTTAGAATTTTCCATAAAAAATATTATTTTTTACTGTTACTTATTTATTTCTAAAGGGATCAACTTCATACTTCAAATATATTTACGTTATCATCATCCACATCTTATGTTACAAGGTTCATAACTCTAGCACCAATATTGCAAGAATTATCTCCCCATAAACTTAGATTTTTTTACTAGAAAAATGTTATTTTTTATTATAACTTTTTTATTTTTAAAGGTATCTACCTCAAACTTCAAATACTTATTCCTTATCATCAATTACATTTTATGTGACAATGTTCATAACTCTTGAAGTAATATTTACAGATTTTTCTCTCTTTGAACTTAGGATTTTCTTTAAGAAATATAATAACTTCTTTACTTTTTAAGGTGTCTACTTCAAACTTCAAATATATATTTCTTATCATTACACAAATGTTGTGTGACAAGGTGCATAACTCTAGCATGACTATTTCAAGAATTATTCCCCTTGATCTTGGAATTTATGTTAACAAATGTTATTTTTTTACTATAACTTAATACATAATTATTATACATAATTGATTTTTCTTTCGTATTTTGTCCTCCTTACTGCGTCCAGTATTTTATTAGTCGAGCTTCGCTGTCTCCTGTGACAGCTCTTGTTTTTTTGAGGGTGGGGGGAGGGTTTGTGCACAAAAGGGCATCAGAAGTCTTGATGAAAAGTCAGCATTATGACCTTTGCAGTGTGCAGTGTTTCCTAACCAGCATATTAAAATATATTAGTTGTCACCAAAGACTGACTTTTTATTTTGTCATACTGAAAAATTTCTTATTTTAAAGTGTATATTATTAAAGCTATGCCGCTGCTGACTGCAGTTTACAAAATGTTTGTTTGAATATTTAAAATGAATACCTCCTAAATGCCTACATTAAAGAAATAAATATATTGGGATAATTTTTTTTGAGAGAATGGTCCATGCACAAAATCAATGCTTAAAGGTTAAAAACCAGTACTTACAAATAGCAGTATTTGTTCCAGAATTTTTTATACCCCCAAAAACGAAGTTTTGGGGGTATATAGGAGTCACCCGGTGGTCGGTTGGTCGGTCCAGACGTCCGTTGCATTTTCCTTGTCCGGGGCATAACTTGAAGACTAATGGTTGGAATTTTAATATAACTACATACAATGGTCAAGCACATTGAGAGTAAGTGCAGTGCACAAAAACCATAACTCTATCTTGACTAATTACAGAGTTATTGCCCTTTGTTACTTTTCCTTGCCCTTGTCCAGGGCATAACTTGAAAACTACTGGTTGGAATTAAAAACAACTTCATACAATTGTCAAACACAATAAGGGGAAGTGCAGTGCACAAGAACCATAACTCTATCTAAAGTAATTACAGAGTTATTGCCCTTTGTTACTTTTCCATTGCTTTTTTTGTGAAAGGCATAACTTGAAGACTAATGGTTGGAATTCAATATAACTTCATACAATGGTCAAGCACATTGAGAGGAAGTGCAGTGCACAAGAACCATAACTACATCTTGACTAATTACAGAGTTTTTGCCCTTTGTTACTTTTCCTTGTCCAGAGCATAACTTGAAAACTACTGTTTGGAATTCAATACAACTTCATACAGTTGTCAAGGACATTAAAAGGAAGTGCAGTGCACAAGAGCCATAACTCCATTTTAACAAAATACAGAGTTACTGCCCTTTGATACTTTTCTTTGTCCGGAGCATAACTTAAAACGTACTGGTTGGAATTCAAAACAACTTCATACAATGGTCAAGCACAATAAGAGGAAGTGCAGTGCACAAGAACTATAACTCCATCTTCAGTATTTATAGAGTTATTGCCCTTTGTTCCTTTTCCTTGTCTTTCTAGACTTATTACAGAGTAATTCAATAAAACGTCATCAATGGCCAACCACATTGAAAGGAAATGCAACATATAAGAACCACAACTTTCTTTAATTGCCCACAACTATAACTCTATATTTCAATTCTTTTATAAGGTATAATGTTACTAGTAACATCCTCATTTCGGAAGCTGTCTTGTGGGGTTTTAATCACATTTAGTGATAGTTTTAGTTTATTCTGTCCACATACATGTTTATTACATAACAAAGACATTGTATGTTTCACCTTATTCAAGAATCCACCATAACATTATGCAAAGAGCATTATTTTTCCATTTATGAATTTTACAAAATTATTTCATTGTTATAGCTGTATATCCTTCAAGAGAACATTAAAATTTAAATTTGATCAATGTCAGATATAACTTAAGCATCTTTTCCCTTTTCAAAGACTGGATGCAGTAAACTGGTTTGACTGTATGAATATAAATACAGTTAAATTGTGACAGTTGTAAAAAGGTGTTACTGATTGAGTGGTGTTATATAAACTAATGCAATGATAAATTTAACATACTAGGCTTGATGCATTCATGTTTGGTGTTGAAGTTGGGAATCATGTTTTAGATGTTTGTTTTTAGATGATATCACTTAAAGGGACTCCACTGAGGTTGTTTGTTTTTAGATGATATCACTTAAAGGGACTCCACTGAGGTTTTTTTTTTTTACATGACAAGACTGGAAAGACTTGTACCATTAATGAAAGTCGCAGGACTTATAACTTGAACTGCAAATTTCAAATCATTTGCACACTCGGTTGTTGTTTTTTTTTGCAGAATAATTATCTAGATTTAAATGATTGCATTTAGACACTTAACTCTAATGAGGTAAGAATCATAAAAAATATTTTTTAAATTTAAATCTGAGTATATTTGTATGTCTTATGAATATGTTTTTATACGCCCGTTTGAAAAATGGGACGTATTATGGGAACGCCCCTGGCGGGCGGGCGGTCGGGCGTATGGGCGGGCGGTGTCCAATTTTGTCCGGAGCATAATTATCTCCTACATGTATGGAGGGATTTTAATGAAACTTCATAGAAATGTTCACCACTATGAGGAGCAGTGTCGCGCACATGAACCAGGTCTCTAGGTCAAAGGTCAAGGTCACAGAGCTCATTGAAAAATGCTTGTCCGGAGCAAAACTTCCACATGTATAGAGGGATTTCAATATTACTTGGCACAAATGTTCACCATTGTGAGGCGGAGTGTCGCGCGCAAGATTCAGGTCCTTGCGGCCAAGGTCAAGGTCACACATAGAGGTCAAAGTTCAGATAAAAATATGAAGATTGGTATATGGACCATTTAGTCATCATTTATTGAGGGATTGTAACACAAATGGTCATTATCAAGACTATGGCTGTGATACATATAATTTAGGTCAATATATACAAGGTCAAGGTCACTAAAGATGATGAAATATCCAGATTTTGTCCGGAGCATATCTCCTACACGCATGGAGGGATTTTAATGAAATTTCATAGAAATGTTCACCATTATGAGCAGCCATGTCACGCACATGAACTAGGTCTCTAGGTCAAAGGTCAAGGTCACACTTAGAGCTCATTGAAAAACGCTTGTCCGGAGCAAAACTTCCACATGCATAGAGGGATTTCAATATAACTTGGCACAATCGTTACCATTGTGAGGCAGAGTGTCGCGCACAAAATTCAGGTCGCTGCAGCCAAGGTCAAGGTCACACATAGAGGTCAAAGTTTAGATAAAAATATGAAGATGTGTATAGGGACGATTTAATCATCATTTATTGAGGGATTGTAACACAAATGGTCATTATCATGACTTTGGCTGTGACACATGTACTTTAAGTCAATATATGCAAGGTCAAGGTCACTAAAGATGGTGAAATATCCAGATTTTGTCTGGAGCATATCTCCTACATGTATGGAAGAATTTTTATAATACTTTATGGAAATGTTCACCACCATGATATGTATTGCGCTGAGTGTCGCACGCAAAATTCAGATCCCTGCGACCAAAGTCAAGGTTACACATAGAGGTCAAAGTTCAGATAAAAATTTGAAGATGTGTATAGGGACCATTTAGTTATCATTTATTGATGGATTGTAGCACAAATGGTAACTATCATGACTACAGGTGTGACACATTTAATTTAGGTTAATATTTGCAAGGTCAAGGTCACTGGAGATGATTAAATATCCAGATGTTATCCGGAGCATATTTTCTACATGCATGGAGGAATTTTAATGTTACTTTATAGAATTGTTCACCACCATGAGACGTAGTGCCCTGCACATGAACCAAGTCTCTAGGTCAAAGGTGAAGGTCACAGTTAGAGCTCATAGGAAAACGCTTGTCTGGAGCAAAACTTCTACATGCATAGAGGGATTTCAATATGATTTGGCACAAATGTTCATCATTGTGAGGCTGAGTGCCGTGCATAAAATTCAGGTCCCTGCGACCAAGGTCAAGGTCACACATCCTGTGCATATCTTCCCTACTGATTTGTTTTAAGGTTCATTTAACAACACAGTGCCAAAAATTAAAACTTGCTTGCTAGATAACACTTATCCATAATGCCCCCATCTCCATCTAAAGCTTTTGTAAACGGGCGTATTTTGTGACTATGGCACCCTTGTTGTGCCCCCACATTAGTGGCGGGCATTTAGATTTACCCTTGTCCGTCCGTCCTTCCGTCCGTCCGTCCTTCCGTCCGTCCGTTCACTTTTGTGTCGCATGTAACTCAAAAAGTATTTGACCTAGAGTTTTGAAACTTTACAGGAATGTTGATCAGCATGTGTAGTTGTGCACCTGGGTATTTTCGTCTGGATATTTTTAGTATTTTCAGAGTTATTGCCCTTGACTTATTTAAATTTTGCAATTTTCAACTTGTGTCGCATGTAACTCAAAAAGTATTTGACCTAGAGTCATGAAACTTTACAGGAATGTTAATCAGCATGTGTAGTTGTGCACCTGGGTATTTTCGTCTGGATATTTTCATTATTTTCAGAGTTATTGCCCTTGACTTAGTAAAATTTTGCAATTTTCAACTTGTGTCGCACTTAACTCAAAAAGTATTTGACCTAGAGTCATGAAACTTTACAGGAATGTTGATCAGCATGTGTAGTTGTGCACCTGGGTATTTTCGTCTGGATATTTTTAGTATTTACAGAGTAATTGCCCATGACTTAGTAAAATTTTGCAATTTTCAACATGTGTCGCAGGTAACTCAAAAAGGATTTGACCTAGAGTCATGTAACTTTACAGGAATATTGATTAGCATGTGCAGTTGTGCACCAGGTATTTTCGTCTGGATTTATTTAGTATTTTTAGAGTTATTGCCCTTCACTTAGAAAATTTTTGCAATTTTTCAACTTGTGTCGCAAGTTTCTCAAAAAGGATTTGACATAGTCATTTAACCTTATAGGCAGGTTGCTCAGCATATTTTAGATTTGCACCTTGGGTTTTGCTTGTGGATTTATCCAGTATTTGTAGAGTAATTTCCCTTGACTTAGTAAAAAGATTGACAGAACAGTGGCGCGGTGGGGGCACCCGTGTCCTATGGACACAAAAAGGATTTGACATAGTCATTTAACCTTATAGGCAGGTTGCTCAGCATATTTTAGATTTGCACCTTGGGTTTTGCTTGTGGATTTATCCAGTATTTGTAGAGTTATTTCCCTTGACTTAGTAAAAAGATTGACAGAACAGTGGCGCGGTGGGGGCACCCGTGTCCTATGGACACATTTCTAGTTTATTATTATAACACCTGCAGTGCTGCTGAAATTAAGGAATGGACTTTTGAAAATTATTAACCTTTACCATGCTGGCAGCAACTGAATCTACCCAATCAGTGCACATCTGTGACATCTGAACATGGTCTGCAATATTTGCTATTCAGTCTGTACTTATTTTAGATTTTTCCCTAAATATGATGAGTTGTTTTGACCAGATAAAAATATAGACTAGTCCGCTCATGACATAAGGGGAAATGCCCATTAAGCATATGTGCTTTCTGATGCAGGGAAGGTGCACAATATATATATAATATACTGTTAATTATGTACAAGTTTAGTAAAGCTGCTTGTGCAAATATATAGCAACATCCAAGCACCAATATACAGAATGTAGTGTCTTGTCAGAATTGGAATTTAAGCTTATTTTATGTTTGCATTTTATAGAAAGAGTGATTATAATGTGTTATGTATTACTTTTATTATAGCAATGATATTAAATTTGTTTTTAGCTGAACATTTTCTTTTTATTATTATTTTATTCATTTTTTTGCTTTTAAACTGAATTTCTTTGACCTGCACCTTAAATTGTAGAATAAGAAATGTATCAAGAGTTAAATGTCTATAATGCTGTGATGTGATTAAAAATAAATTGCCTGTTATGATTATAATTAGTGATAACATCATGGGTTTTATTTAAGGTTGAATGAAAATCGAAATTAAAAACTAAATCCTGCTATGTGACATACAACATTTTTGAACTAATAAATAAGATTTGTTTTTAAAGGTAATCACGTTGATGAATTAAAATTTAAGTTTGTATAATTATGTAGTCATATGATACTTAAAGTGAACTTTTCACATAGTATACCATGGATGTTAATTATTTAAGAGGCCACATAGTTAGGGTCATCATCTTCAAGTTACTTGGCCCTCACTGCTGTGGGTTTGAATCCTGACAGGTATTTTGGATTCTTACATGACAGGACACTATCCAGCTAGCTTATGGAAGGTTGGTGGTTCTACTCAGGTACCATGCCCACTTGTGCCTGAAACCACCAGTAAAAAAAAAAAAAAGAAAAAAAAAGAAAGAAAATTGTAACTCTTTTAATACTTTTATCCCTAGTTGCTATATAATTAGTTGTTGTCTGATATTAGAAATTAACATTTATTCTTCAATGGGTGTATTATATTACACTATTTTTAAGTCTGAATCTAAAATTAAAATACAGTTAAAATCAGGATGCCATGTTTGTTTGTATTTGTAGGTATGCCACGGCCTGGTATGGGACCAGGGATGCCCCCGCCCCAGATGGGTATGGGAACACCGATGGATAGGAAAAGACAGAGTGATTCCAGAGCTGCCCAACATATGAAAGCGTTAGTTAACTATTATCATAATACAGTAATATAATTGGACCTGATCTGTAACTTGAATTTACAACTTTTCAATGTTGCTGTTATAATTTTATAATTTATAAAAATTATAAAATTTTAATAGACTGCACAGAAAAGCAGGCAGAAAAAAGTATATTGAAATGGATTTTCTACAAATGCAGTGATTTTTCCTGCAAAAAAACGTGCTTTTTCCCATACTGTTCGAAAGCATTACTCTCAAAGGATTCAGACTGTGTGTCATGTGTGATATATTTCTGATTTCATATAATACTGTACTTTCAAAATCGATTCGTTAAAAAAAATGAACGGACAGTTTGAAAATCAGTGAGACTTCAAGGAAGTTTGTAACCGCAAATACAATGTTTTCTTTGTAGTTGTTTATGCATATGGAGAAAATTCATTCACTGTTTAAATAAATAAAACATTTACATAAAACCTTCGTGCATCAGGGCTATTTTAAGATATTTCTGCTGCGCACTTTATTTAAGGTACACGTTGGTTTGACACCTTGTTTTATAATAGTGTAAATTGCTTTTTCTTGAAGTTTGTAGACTAAATTTTCTTAAACCATGTGTGCAACATGACAAAGTAGATTTTGGGATGTGTTTATAATGTTTTCTCCAGTGATTGCAATGTTAATGCAACCCATTTATTTACTGTTCTGTTATAAAAGCTACTGATTTTATCTTTCTTTTGATTATTGGTATGTAAAATGTTATGAGTAATCATTCTACATTTTAATATAATATTATTATTTTATTTAATATTTTATTCCAGGAAAAAGAAGAAAAAAATGGCAGACAAAATATTGCCCCAAAGGGTATTTTCTTTTTTTACCAAAACATAATCTAAATTTTAAATAAATTTGTATAGGACAAAAATATTACACATAAATATGCAAGCAACAAAAGTATGGGGGTTAATATATGAGGACCACAAGGAGTGTGCGTGTGTGTGTGTGGGGGGGGGGGGGGGTAAATATCAGTACCAAAAGCATTAGGATTAAATTAAGGACCAAAAGGATGATGTAACTTTGAATTTAGTAACGGCAATTTTCTTCTGATAAATTGTTATTATAAAGAATAATTAATGATTAAAGAAGTAAATTTTATGACACAAATTGATTTTTTAACAAATGAACAAATCAAATTTCCCTTCCTTTGAAATGTTAGCTATGAATGGTTCCAGGTTGTTAAGCATGATAGGAACCAGCCTTTATTTGTTTGTATTCACAGGTGAGGGATCTGGTACCCGAATCTCAAGCATACATGGATTTGCTGGCCTTTGAACGGAAACTTGATGCCACCATCACAAGAAAACGACTGGATATTCAGGAGGCCCTGAAAAGACCAATGAAGGTGCTTGTGTTTGGTTGTAATATTTGCTATTTATGATTTACCAGTGTTTAATGCCCTTTGACTGGCACAGCAGCAGAACAGCATATTTGTCTAAGTGCCAAGATTTTCTATATAAATGAATTTGGAGGAGCAAGTTTCCAACAGTCTCAAAGCAACACGCCCCGAGATTCATCCTAATTTTCATTAAACTTGACTATGTTTACTTGAACAAGTAAAGTTACATGAGGTAGATTTATGCACTTATGGTTCAACAGTGAATATGTGAAAATATTCAAAATATCTTTCAGTAAATGATAGCAACAGTAAGGTGATAAAAAACAGTAAATAATAGCTGGTTTGAGGAAAGGCAAGTACTCTCGATTTTTGTCCATAGCATATTTTTTACCTGCATGAAGCAATTTCTGTGTTTAATACAAAAGCTTATTACGATGAAGTGTCATGTGCTGAACCAGCTCACTAGGTCAAAGGTTACATTAAATTTTAGAGGTCAAAGGGAAACACTTGTATGAAGCATAACTTCTTGAAAAAATTGTGAGCCAGTGTGTTGTTTACAAAATTCAGGTCCTGTGGTCATTATCATGGTCACATGTAGAGGTCAAATGTCAGGGAGATTTCTATATAATAAAACCCAAACAAGACTTGAGTAGCCAGGAGAATATGGACTGTTTGAGCACTATGTTTGTCACTCAGTCAATGTATTTTTGTTTCCAGTAAATTTTAAGAAACATGCGTGTTGTGGAGGCATAACATGTAGTTCATAGAAACCATGTTAATATGATCATCTGTAAGATTTTGTGTGGTAATACTTGAATGATTTGTCATTCCAGCAAAAGAGAAAGTTACGTATCTTCATATCAAACACATTCTATCCGGCTAAACCTGCGGAGGGTGAGGAAGGTGAGGAATCTGTCCCCTCGTGGGAGCTTAGAGTCGAGGGCAGACTTCTTGAAGATGTTAGTGGTATTCTTTTATGGTTTAGAAAACTGTTGTTTTGTATTATTAGGAAAAAAAGAGAAATATGTTCCATTCTTTGAATGCAATGCAGTTTTTAACCAGGTTTTCAATTTTGAAAATCCTGGTTATTAGATTGGGGTATGGCGGGCGGATGGGCGGATGGGCGGCTGGGCGGATGGGCGGCTGGGCGGATGGGCGGGCGTCAAACGAAATTGTGTCCGCTCTGTAACTCTTCAACCCTTTGAAGAATTTTGATGAAACTTCAGACAAATGTTTACCACATCAAGATGACGTGCAGAACGCATGTTCCGCATGGCTGGCTCCAAGGTCAAGGTCACAGTGACATTAACATTGAAAATCCTGTCCGCTCTGTAACTCTTCAACCCTTTGAAGAATTTTGATGAAACTTCAGACAAATGTTTACCACATCCAGATGACGTGCAGAACGCATGTTCCGCATGGCTGGCTCCAAGGTCAAGGTCACAGTGACATTAACATTGAAAATCCTGTTTACATGATTTTAACTTCGGGCGTCAAACGAAATTGTGTCCGCTCTGTAACTCTTCAACCCTTTGAAGAATTTTGATGAAACTTCAGACAAATGTTTACCACATCAAGATGACGTGCAGAACGCATGTTCCGCATGGCTGGCTCCAAGGTCAAGGTCACAGTGACATTAACATTGAAAATCCTGTCCGCTCTGTAACTCTTCAACCCTTTGAAGAATTTTGATGAAACTTCAGACAAATGTTTTACCACATCAAGATGACGTGCAGAACGCATGTTCCGCATGGCTGGCTCCAAGGTCAAGGTCACAGTGACATTAACATTGAAAATCCTGTCCGCTCTGTAACTCTTCAACCCTTTGAAGAATTTTGATGAAACTTCAGACAAATGTTTACCACATCAAGATGACGTGCAGAACGCATGTTCCGCATGGCTGGCTCCAAGGTCAAGGTCACAGTGACATTAACATTGAAAATCCTGTCCGCTCTGTAACTCTTCAACCCTTTGAAGAATTTTGATGAAACTTCAGACAAATGTTTACCACATCAAGATGACGTGCAGAACGCATGTTCCGCATGGCTGGCTCCAAGGTCAAGGTCACAGTGACATTAACATTGAAAATCCTGTTTACATGATTTTAACTTGATTTGGCAGTCAAAGGTCATATCATCTTTGGAGGTAATTTAAAAAAGATATGATATATTATTTCATGTCTACTTTGTAACTTGTTTTTCATTATACAGAATTATCAATATAATTATAGTGAACAAATTCTTCTGTGCTGAACTCGTCCTACATTTCTCAACGGATTTTGTTCAAACTTTCACAGAAGCTTTGTCATCAAGCACCCTGGCACATATTGTCGGGGTTTTGTGATTGAATAGTTTTTGACCTAATTATGGCCCTTTGTTTTTTTCCTTATACATAATATTATAGTGAACACTTCTTCAGTGGCAATTCCTCCTACATTATTCATGTTTTACATTGCACATAGTTACATTGTTTGTTGCTTGTATTTGTATTTCAAATACAACATATTTATCTACAATGGTGATAATTGAAAACCTGGTTTCATGGCATTGCCATGTTTCTTGTTTATGTTTAAATGCCGAAATGAAATGAATAAATAGTCGTTTATTTTGACATCGTATAGTTTATTGTCATAACCCTTGGCAACATGATATTATTTTTACTTGGTCTCTTTTGTTGTTTAAACTTCTTGTATACTATTTGGTATACAGCATTTGCATGTAGTCCCATACTGTGGGATTCAATTTCAGGTCTGTCCTTCATCCACTTCCTATTTACTGATTTACTTAAATTTTCTACATTAATGGTGAATGATAGGAAATTTTAGTAACAGTTTTCTGAGCCACTAATCACAGACACTTGATATTTGGTATACAGCTGATACACATGGTCCCTTACTGTTGAATTCAATTTCATGTTTGTCCCTTATCCATTTCCTGTTAACTGACTAAAGTTAAATTGTTACCGATGTCTTATGTGGAAACTGAGAGAATCTATGGCTGACTAGATTCATATTAAAATAATTTAACTTAAATTTTCAAGATCAAGGATAAAATTTTGGGGAAAGAAATAAATTGAAACTGAAACAAAACATAAACAGGCTATGTGGTATATTCAAAGAAGAACAATTAATATTTTATTAAAGTTATATTTTGTATTTAATTTGGTATAAAATAAAACATTTTGTTTCAACTGACATTGTTCAGCACTTCCCAAGTAAATTTCAGCACTGTTATAATGTAACTTTAAAATATTAATTCTTCTTCTTTGGATATACATACTAGGCATACTGAACATGTATTGAGACTTGGGACACTTGTGGTCAATTTTGGGACAACTCTGTTTTTCTAGGTCAGTTGTCCTAGACAACACTATTCCAAAAAAAATGTAGAGCCCTGTTTAACAATGAGTTTTAACTGATCGGGGGGGGGGGGGAATGAAAAAGGAAAAAAAAAAGATCAAAGAAATAATTAAATTGTGTTTTCAGGCTGCCAGTGCCAAGCTTAGTGATGCAAATAAAACAAAGAGAAAATTTTCATCGTTCTTTAAGAGCCTTGTTATTGAATTAGACAAGGAGCTGTATGGACCTGACAACCATCTTGTTGAGGTAAGTTCACTGTATTATCATAGTTTACATATCTGACCTTTTAACCCTTAACTCTTACTATCTGTGGGCTTTTTACCTTGCTTAGGGCATTGAATTTTACCTTGCTTAGGGCATTGAATTTTACCTTTCTTAGGGCATTGAATTTTACCTTTCTTAGGGCATTGACTTTTACCTTGCTTAGGGCATTGAATTTTACCTTTCTTAGGGCATTGACTTTTACCTTGCTTAGGGCATTGAATTTTACCTTTCTTAGGGCATTGAATTTTACCTTGCTTAGGGCATTGAATTTTACCTTTCTTAGGGCATTGAATTTTACCTTTCTTAGGGCATTGACTTTTACCTTGCTTAGGGCATTGAATTTTACCTTTCTTAGGGCATTGAATTTTACCTTGCCTAGGGCATTGAATTTTACCTTGCTTAGAGCATTGATTTTTTTTAGTGTTGAGTAGCATTTCAGCTGACTTACAGAAGATTTCTTTATTATATACCTGAAATAATACATAGTAAGACATCCTTGCTGCTTTAGCATGTATGCTGAAGATTGGTTGCAATAGCCAGAGTTCTAGGTTGTATGCCTGAATTAATGTACAAAAGACATTCTTGCTGCTTTAGCATGTATGCTGAAGATTGGTTGCAATAGCCAGAGTTCTAGGTTGTATGCCTGAATTAATGTACAAAAGACATTCTTGCTGCTTTAGCATGTATGCTGAAGATTGGTTGCAGAAGCCAGAGTTTTTGGTTGTGAATTAATGTACAAAAGACATCCTTGCTGCTTTAGCATATATACTGAAGACTAGTTGCAGAAGCCAGAGTTTTTGGTTGTGAATTAATGTACAAAAGACTTCCATGCTGCTTTAGCATATATACTGAAGACTAGTTGCAGAAGCCAGAGTTTTTGGTTGTGAATTAATGTACAAAAGACTTCCTTGCTGCTTTAGCATATATACTGAAGACTAGTTGCAGAAGCCAGAGTTTTTGGTTGTGAATTAATGTACAAAAGACATCCTTGCTGCTTCAGCATGTATGCTGAAGATTGGTTGCAATAGCCAGAGTTCTAGGTTGTTTTGTTTTTTTCTAAAAAGAAATCATATGTACAGAATGACACCCTTTGATCTCATGAACATAAAATACAGAATAGTTATTATACCCAGATTTACTGTTTTTCCATCATCCATCATAACTTTATTAAATCTATATGACCTTTTCTGTGTCACTGTGCTTGAAAGTCAAACAACTAGGTTTTATAATTATTTATAGATCATAGGTAAAATCAAGGGCAGTAATGTGAAAATATATAAAATGTTTAGTGCTAAAAGGTTAAAAAAAAACTTGTTATTAGAGGCTGTTAAACATTTTGTCTATAAAACAAATGTTCTTGTTATTGGTGAATTTTCATTTTGGTTGATATGCTGTCCATCATTATTTTTTTATTGGCCGAAGTAAATTCCCTAAGAGCACTCTTTGTGTTTTGAGAATATTATAACGAAGAACTATTTGTCCTATTTAATGGTAAACGACTAGCAAATCTGTGTCAAAGTTTTAGCAAGTACAAAAAGGAGAATGTTTTAGAGCTTATCATTACAAAAAAATGTTAGTTTTCCATCAGGTATTTGTAATCTAATTGTTGATAAGTGCAGGTTAACTTGGGGAAAAAAGTTTTTGCTAACAAGGTGAAATCCTACTCTGAAAAATGCAAAACAGAATACTAGTTTATAAAAGCACTCTTTAATATGTACTCATCATTCCCTTTTTTTTTTAAACACAAGATTTATTAAATCTCTGCCACTTAAAGGGATATTCAGGCAAAATAATGATAAAAATGTTAAAATGACCTTATGTACTCAAATCAGGCTAAAATGGCATTTCTTAAAGTCCTAGTATGAATTTCTGAATAAATTCTATATATTTTGAGTTTGAAGAGTAAATATATCTATCTATATATGTTAAACGAAATTTAAACGCAAACAAAAAGTCAAAGTAGTTTTAAAAAATGTCATGTGACTTTAACAAACCTTGGAAGCTACAATAACAGATATCATGGATATTGTATGATTTAAACAAGTCTAAGTCATTCATTTGATTTGTTCTTAAACGTTCTTTTAGTTCACTGTGACAACTATTGTGAAATTTAAACGCTCTAACCTGACCCACGTGGGTCAAGTTAGGAAATCACTACTTTTTTCTTTATTAGGAGAAAAGTTGTGTTCCTTTGACAGCCTTGTGTATCTTTTTTGAGAACATTAATAGAATAATGAATGAAAAATTAAAAACTAAGAAATGAAAATTTTGCCTGTGGTTTCCTTTAATGCAGATATGAAATTTGAGGGCTGCTCGAGTCACAACCATGTTATCCTCTATGACACCTGTATAAAATGAATGAGAAAATAGACATTTATTCACCAGTTCTTTGTAAAGCTGGCACCTGGAGTGTGCTAGATAGCTGCTCTGTTATTTAACCAGTTCACAAATTGTCATATCAATACAGTGGTGATATAGATAGGAATGATTCTGTCTAACATGCTGAGATAATTAGTGAAGATTTTTTTTTAATCTGACTGTCCACACAAGGTAGGGCCTTTCCTATTTTGAGTTCATATACAAGTCACGGACCATAACTTGAAGACTAATGGTTGGAATTCAATTTAACTTCATACAATGGTCAAGCACATTGAGAGGAAGTGCAGTGCACAAAAACAATAACACCATTTGACAAATAACAAGGTTATTGCCCTTTGATACTTTTCCTTGTCAGGTGCATAACTTAAAAACTAATGTTTAGAATTCAATGAAACTTCATTTAATGGTCAAGTGCAATGAGAGGAAGTGCAATGCTCAAGAACCATAACTCTATCTAAAGTAATTACAGAGTTATTGCCCTTTGTTACTTTTACTTTTTCGGAGCATAACTTGAAAACTACTGGTTGGATTTCAAAACAACTTCATAAAATGGTCAAGCACAATAAGAGAAAGTGCATTGCATAAGAACCATTACCCCTTCTAAAGTAATTACAGAGTTATTGCCCTTTGTTTCTTTTCCATTGCTTTTTTTGTCTGGAGCATAACTTGAAAACTACGGGTTGGAAGTTAAAACAACTTCATACAATGGTCAGGCACAATAAGAGGAAGTGCAGTGCACAAGAACCAAAACTCCATCTTGACTAATTACAAAATTATTGTCCTTTGTGACTTTTACTTGTCAGGAGCATAATTTGAAAACTACTAGTTGGAATTCAATACAACTTCATACAATCGTCAAGCACATTAAGAGGAAGTGCAGTGCACAAAACAATAACACCATTTGACAAATAACAGAGTTATTGCCCTTTGATACTTTTCCTTGTCAGGTGCATAACTTAAAAACTAATGTTTAGAATTCAATGAAACTTCATTCAATGGTCAAGTGCAATGAGAGGAAATGCAGTGCTCAAGAAGCGTAACTCTTTTTGGACTTTTTACACAGAATTCAATGAAACTTCATCAATGGTCAACCACATTGAAGGAAATGCAACGTACAAGAACCACAACTATCTTTAATTGCCCACAACCATAACTCTATTTCTGTTTTTTTGCAAGGTATTCTGTTACTAGTACCTTCCTCATTTCCAAAGCAGTCTTGCGGGGATATTAATCACATTTAGTGATAGTTCTAGTTTTTTCAACATTAATGGTCAATGGTACAAATTTTTATAACATCACTGCCTCATGATATTTGGTTTACAAATGCAACCCGGCCATTTCTGTCTTTGACCCATTTTTCACAGAATAATTATTCTGGAAAAATGGAGTTAATTACTGGAAATTTTGCACACTAGGTATATCAATTGGAACATTAATCTCGACAAAATTATTTCCAGTTTGTCATGTCAAAAAACCTCAGTGGAGACCCTGTTAAAGCTATATATATGATGGTTGAACGATATTACAGACACAAGTTACGTTACTTGGATCACACATGGGGACGATATCTTTTGCAAATATAGCATTTTAATGTGACATAATACTGGTGCATTTGTGAACGAAGTCTTACTTCCTTAAACTTGTATTGAATCTGGTTCAAGGAGAATAAAATCGGACATTTGTTGGTTGGTTTATAAAGTTATATGAGAACAGCAAAGTCGTTTATCAACCAGGAAAAAAAGAATGATGCAATAGTCACTATTTATAGAATTTTGTTTGACCTAGATTAGGCTAGATATTACAATATTCTATATTTTGCTACGAGGTGCATTAAAAATAGTTCTTTTTTTGCTTTTTTTAGTCGTTGAAAGGGAAATGAAATTATGGGTATTTAAATATTTTTTCTTTACAAAAAGCTTTCTTTGTATAAAATTTTATATTGTACGTTTTATTCTGACTTTAGAACTAAAGTAAATCCAGTAATGTCCGCTTATTTCAGTCTTGTCATTTATCTGGTGCAAGAATGAGGGATAAGTATAAGCAATTCCCAATAACGATTATAATATTATGTCTCAATTCTATTGATTTGTACTGTTATAGATTTATGAATGAACGTAGACTATAATACAGTAACTGTTGTTTACTCTTTAATTTGATATTAAATATATCCTAATCTGTGGGTATATTAAGATTAAGGTTTAAATATTGGAAGAATTAAGTAACTTTAAATTATAATGGCTTCACTTTGAACTGTGCTTTTAGCATTGTTATAGCATTAGATTTGGTGAATACAGGATGGACAGGTAGGCAGCTTGGCATAAACAGCTTTTTGTGTCCAACTTTGTATCAATGCATAATATCATATGTTTTTTTTTATCTTTTAATGCATTTTTCAAATCATTTTGCCTAACTTTGTTCCCTTTCATCTTGAATAAATGATGTTAAATATGTTAGCAAATATTTGATGTTTGCCTAATTTTAGAAACTTAATTATCATTATTATAATGATAAGCTTATCCATGTGTTTAAGTCTGTTTTACAATCAGTATTCAGTCAGACCCGAGTTTAGCCTAACTCTACTTAAAGTTATTATTCTTGAATAAGTGTTATTTAACCTAAAGTGGCTGAGTAGGTCAAAAAGAAATTTGTTTATATTCAAAGCTACCTGTCCTGCATAGAACACGACTATAATACATAATTGAAGGACAAAGTCAAGAAACTTTTGTAAAGCAATGAATTATTGTTTTCTACTGATAATTAAACTCAGTCAGCTGAAAATAGTATTTTATTTATAAACCTTTGACCTACTAGGAGCTCAGTGCTTTGATGAACTTTTGAAAAGGCTTTATGACCCATAATACTTGGAAGTATTTGCAATAAATATAACTGTGCTTGTATTTTTAAAAATTCGGTTAATAGGTTACTACTGTAAAAGTACATATTATCCACTTGAACTTAAAAACATAATATTGATGAAAAAAATAAATACACATGTAGTTATGAAATTTAACTTATACTTTGATTATTTTAGGTTAATTATACATGTTATTGGGGAAAAAATGCCTTCATTCAAATTGTATTTGTAAGTCCAGCATTAAATGTATTAACTAGATCTCTTGGTTTATAGTGATATAATTAAATAAAAAAATTGTCTATTTCCTAAAGAAGACAAAATATATATCTACTCTAATGAAACTTGCTTTAAACATGGAATTTGTTCGGAAGTATTCAGTTTGGCACTGTTTTAGTACATTTTATGATTTTCTATACAGATTGATATATATATAATAAAGAAATGTTCTGTTTTTTTTTTTTTCAAGTGTCATGCTTATGTAACTAACCTTATTTTCATTGTGTAGGTCAATTTTTTAGCGCCTATTTTTAGAAATGAATAATACAGTAGAACGTTGTCTCGTAGTAAATCGGGCGGGACCTTGACTTTGGAAATTTCACCCGCCAGTTCATGCTCATAATGTACGAGTATGAAGAATATCAGTCATATGCATAGTGATTTTTCGCTTCTATCTAGAACATTATTGCTATGTCACGTGTATGTCTTTAATCTATTACAAATATTAATCGTATTTTACAAATTTAGTTGTAATTTTTTGTTTGGAAATTGTGTCTGGAAATTGTCGTGTTATAAAAATTTGATGTTAGCAAGCTTTTGTTACTTGAGTCTGCACAAACGAATTTTTTTATTATTTGAATATTTGAAATAATGCCCATTAGATGCTTTAATAACAATTTGTGTATTTTTGCCCGGGTTGCACTGGTGCAAATCTGGGTTATAGTATGGTGAATGTCGGGCGGCGGGCAGGCGGGGAAAATATTTTTGTAACAGTTTTCTTAGCAACTACTTATCACATCCTCTTGATATTTGGCATACAGCATAGACACATGGTCCCATACTGTGGGATTTGATTTCAGGTCTGTCTCTCATCCACTTCCTGTTTATCCACTTAGTTAAATTAGTTAAGTTTTTCGACATTAATGGTCAATGGTAGGAAATTTTCGTAACAGTTTTCTCAGCAATTACTTATCTCAGCCTCTTGATATTTGGCATACAGCATTGACACATAGTCCCATACCATGGGATTTGATTTAAGGTGTGTAGCTGATCCACTTCCTGTTTACCAACTTAATTAAATTTTCGACATTAATGGGTCAATGGTAAATTTTTTTCGTAACATCAAAGCCTCATGATATTTGGTGTACAAAAGCAACCCGGCCTTTTCTGTCTTTGACCATTTTTTGTGTCGCCTCTACGGAGTAGTGGCGACAAATAGGGATCACTTCTCCGTCGTCTGTCTGTCTGTCCGTCCGTCTGTCACAAAACTTGTCCGAACGACCCCTCATAAACTACTGGTGCAATTTCATCCAAACTTTACAGGAATGATCAGTATCAAGTCTAGTTGTACATATTGTCAGCATTTTCCGGTTCAATGATTTTTGTCAGAGTTATGGCCCTTTAATAATTTTTAATTTTAAAGTTTGTCCGGACTATTTCTCTTATACCACTAATGCAATTTCAATGAAACTTTACAGGATTGATCTGTAGCTCAAGTCCTTGAGCATATTGCAAGGGTTTTCCGGTTGAATGATTTTTGGCTGAGTTATGGCCCTTTGATAAAAAGGAGTTTTCTTCTGTGTGTTGCCAGATACGCAATAGCTTGTCCGGACTACTCCTCATAAACTACTGGTGCAATTTCATCCAAACTTTACAGGAATGATCATTACCAAGTCTAGTTGTGCATATTGTCAGCATTTTCCGGTTCAATGATTTTTGTCAGAGTTATGGCCCTTTAATAATTTTTATTTTTAAAGTTTGTCCGGACTAGTTCTCTTATACCACTTATGCAATTTCAATGAAACTTTACAGGATTGATCTGTAGCTCAGGTCCTTGCGCATATTGCACGGGTTTTCCGGTTGAATGATTTTTGGCTGAGTTATGGCCCTTTGATAAAAAGGTGTTTTCTTTCTGTGTGTTGCCAAATACGCAAAAGCTTGTCCGGACTACTCCTCATAAGCTACTGGTGCAATTTTATCCAAACTTTACATGATTGATCAGTACTTAGTCTAGTTGTGCACTGTCCGTCTGTCTGTCCGTCTGTCACAAAATTTGTCCCAACATGAAATTGGCCATTATGAGGCGACACATGTGATTACTGATAGCTCTTGTTTAGAACTTAAATTTGTAACTTTCAAATAAGAATGTTGTCTTGACCCTTGTCACTTTAAAAGAAACATTTTACTGCCTCGCCCCATGTTAATGTTTGCATAATAACTTGACCTTTGCACTCTTGTAAAACAGTCAAGAGCATTTATAGTCTCCTTGAAAAAGACAACATATAGAGGTTACTTTGTCGGCTGGCGTCGTTGTCGGCAGCATCCCCTAAGACTTGACCGGAGCATAACTCAGTCACTATAAGACGGATTGACTCCAAACTTGGTATGCATGCTTCTTTCAATGACTTGAAGTGCAGTGCACAAGAATCGATACACTTCTTAATTTTTGAGTTATTGCCCATTGTTAATTTTCTTAATTTATTTTTTCCAGGCCATTTCTCCTAAACTATAAAAGCTATGGACTTGAAACTTCACAGGATGATAGATCTTATTAAAAAGAAGTGCAGTGCACAAAAACTGGTACTCTGCACTTCTTATTTTTGAGTTATTGCCCTTTGTTTTTCATATTTCATTCATGTCCGAGCCATTTCTCCCAAACTATAAAAGTTATGGACATGAAACTTCATAGGATGATAGATCTCATTGAGAAAATGTGCATTGCACAAAGAAAACGGTACTCTGTACTTCATGATTTTAGAGTTATTGCCCTCTGTTAATTATTATACTTTATTTTTGTCCGGGCAAATTCTCCTACAAAATAAAAGCTATTCAAGCTATATCAATCCTGATGTAACATTGTTACAATCAGTTCCAATGCCACTAAAGTTCATTGTAGGAGTAGTTATTGCAAATAACCTTTATTAAAGAAGAAAATGCCTAAGTGACAGCTATACTGTTCACAAGGCGACACATCCAACTCGCAGAGTTCTAGTTTTCCAAAAGTATTATCTGACATTATTACTTACATACATTGCTTAATCAAGAAAGAGCAAGAAATAAATAATTATGATGAACACTGAAATGCAGACTGAAGTTGACTTTGTTTTATTCAGTGGCATCGTACGCAGAACACCCAGGAGACGGATGGTTTTCAGGTGAAAAGACCGGGCGACCAGAATGTACGCTGTACCGTTCTTCTGATGCTGGATTATCAGGTATTGTCATCTATTTGAGCCGCCCCATGACAAAACCAACATAATGTGTTTGCGACCAGCATGGATCCAGACCAGCTGGATGCGCAGTCTGATCAAGATCCATGCTGTTCGCTTACAAACTCTATAACAAGTAGAGAAACTGATAGGGAACAGCATGGATTCTGATCAGTCTGCGCAGATGCGCAGGCTGGTCTGGATCCATGCTGGTCGCAAACCCATTATGTTGGTTTTGTCATGGCGCGACTCAATTTTATTCTTTGATATTTTGTGTATCCATCATAAACTCACTTCATGAATAAATTTAAATACAGAAAAGTAGGAATGGAACTATGCAGTCAAACCAGTCAAACCGGTATGTTAACACATGTAGTAATATTTTGATTCAGAAAACCGTTATTACATTTGCAGTATATATTGCAATACAGTAAACCCATCATATATCCTGTCAAAAATCTTTACAACTAATAATCTTACTAAATACAAAATAGAAAATTATAAACTTCATTTAGATAATGTAATAAGCACGGTACTGGAATGCGAGCAGTTCCCGTACAGAAGCAGTACCCGTATTTTTCATTTAAACGCTTGATTTTTACATGCATTCTTCAAAAATTCATATCAAATCAAGCAGATACATAAACGAGACAAAATCTTAGTGTCAGTTCGGCAGTACGTATAAAAAGTCTCATTTTAAATCACTTTCACCTGTGCGTTGTCAAAACGTGACCGTGTTTTATCTGGGGGATTCCGTCCTTGTGCGCATGCACTAAAATACCTACACGTGAGGCATGCTAAAGGGTTTTCCACTAATACCACCTGTTTACAGATAAGAAGGCAATATGATGAAAACTTGTTTAATTATCAGAATTTTGACCAATATTACTATATAAAATAATTTTATGGCTTTGATGCGTAAAATATCATGCATACAAGCATGCCATTGCATGTGAATGCGTTGGGGGTAACGGTACCGAGTAATAGATACACGCGTTTAGTCTACTTTCTATTTTCTGAACTACGTCTATTTATCTCTTAGAAAATGGTCTGTTCAACAATTATAAATGAAAAATAGGTCCAATATAATAAAATTGTATAATTATAATGGGTTAAATGTTATGTACGGGAACTACTTCTCTTCATACAAAATAATGGATAATTTCGGTACCCCATATGAGGCCTCATAACTATGGGTTATTCTATGTTTAGAACATGATGGAATTTCCATGATTTGTGTGACGAGCCGAATATTGATGTGTAACATTCAAATTTTGGTGAGTGAGCGTAATAAAAAATAATGTTTAAGTAACTACGATTTTTGTACGGGAACTGCTCGCATGCCAGTATACCTGTAACAACAAATAAAAAGAGCAAGATTGTTTTAAGAAACAGTTAAATGTAGCTTCAGTTTGAAATGGTGTAGCACCTTTAATATAGTATCATAGTATGTGTAAATGTATAGTGTTTTACGTTATAAATGTTGCCCTATTACCTAGTTTGATTTGTAAACAAACAGGATGACATTAGTACAGTAAGTCAGTATGACTAAAAAGTTTATTGACCTTAACCATTTTGCTATGGTAAAAGTCCATATTTCCCACAGGAGAGTGACCATGTTGATATTTTTATGTGCCTCTTTCATTGATTTGCATATTTACGGTGTGAACATCTGGGACACCAAGTTTATCTCAGTTTGATAAAAAAATTATAAATATTCATTATATTCGACTTTTTTGTACTTTCATTTGTCCTTACTGTGTCCCATTCTATTTTAGTTGAGTGTGCTGTCCCAATTTATGTTCATATCAAAATACTGTATGAAATCTTACGCAAAAAGTGATATATTAATACTAATCATAACAAAATTGTTCCTGTTATGAAAGTAAAGAAGAAAAAAAACAACTTAATGAGGTCATTGACCTGATGTATTTAAATGGAAGATAACAAGTCAAAAACATGATGTTATTCATATGTCTAATAAAAGTAAGAGCATTAAATCTTAAAAAAGAAAATCAATAAAAAATACATTTGTAAAAATGGATAAATATACAGGATTAAGGTGAAACATTAGTGCATCAAGCAGGTAGACCTGGCTAAATTCACATGTTAACTATAAAAACAATTTCTCAACTCCAAGTTTTAAGTTGATGAACTTGCTTTGAAGCTACCAACAAAAATGAATTTGTGAATAATTGCCGCTTATTTAAAAATTGCAAATTGCACAATAAGACATCAGGGGTATCTTTGGTGGCTGCTGGAGTAACTCCTGTCACTGCAATAATGACAATGTGACATCTGGGACAATCACTCCTGTAACTGCAATAATGTACTATGTGACATCTGGGACAATCACTCCTTTAACTGCAATAATGCACAATGTGACATCTGGGACAATCACTCCTTTTAACTGCAATAATGCACAATGTGACATCTGGGACACTCACTCCTTTAACTGCAATAATGTACTATGTGACATCTGGGACAATCATTCCTGTAACTGCAATAATGCACAATGTGACATCTGGGACAATCACTCCTTTAACTGCAATAATGCACAATGTGACATCTGGGACAATCACTCCTTTAACTGCAATAATGCACAATGTGACATCTGGGACAATCACTCCTTTAACTGCAATAATGCACAATGTGACATCTGGGACACTCACTCCTGTAACTGCAATAATGCACAATGTGACATCTGGGACAATCACTCCTTTAACTGCAATAATGCACAATGTGACATCTCGGACAATCACTCCTTTAACTGCAATAATGCACAATGTGACATCTGGGACAATCACTCCTGTAACTGCAATAATGACAATGTGACATCTGGGACACTCACTCCTGAAACTGCAATAATGTACTATGTGACATCTGGGACAATCACTCCTGTAACTGCAATAATGCACAATGTGACATCTGGGACAATCACTCCTGTAACTGCAATAATGACAATGTGACATCTGGGACACTCACTCCTGAAACTGCAATAATGTACTATGTGACATCTGGGACAATCACTCCTGTAACTGCAATAATGCACAATGGGACATCTGGTGTTACCCCTGTAACTGCAATAATGCACAATGTGACATCTGGGTTCACTCCTGTAACTGCAATAATGCACAGAGGGACATCTGGGGTCACTCCTGTAACTGCAATAATGCACAATGGGACATCTGGGACAATCACTCCTGTAACTGCAATAATGCACAATGGGACATCTGGTGTTACCCATGTAACTGCAATAATGCACAGAGGGACATCTGGGGTCACTCCTGTAACTGCAATAATGCACAATGGGACATCTGGACAATCACTCCTGTAACTGCTAATAATGCAAAATGGGACAACTGGTGTTACCCCTGTAACTGCAATAATGCATAGAGGGACATCTGGGATCACTCCTGTAACTGCAATAATGCACGGAGGGACATCTCTGGGATCACTCCTGTAACTGCATTAATGCACAACGTGACATCTGGGGTAATTCCTGTAACTGCAATAATGCACAATGTGACATCTGGGGTAATTCCTGTAACTGCAATAATGCACAATGTGACATCTGGGGTAATGCCTGTAACTGCAACAATGCACAATGTGACATTCTGGGGTAATTCCTGTAACTGCAATAATGCACAATGTGACATCTGGGGTAATTTCTGTAACTGCAATAATGCACAATGTGACATCTGGGGTAATTCCTGTAACTGCAATAATGCACAGAGGGACATCTAGGGTCACTCCTGTAACTGCAATAATGCACAAATGGACATCTAGGGTCACTCCTGTAACTGCAATAATGCACAAAGGGACATCTAGGGTCACTCCTGTTACTGCAATAATGCACAAAGGGACATCTAGGGTCACTCCTGTAACTGCAATAATGCACAAAGGGACATCTAGGGTCACTCCTGTTACTGCAATAATGCACAGAGGGACATCTAGGGTCACTCCTGTAACTGCAATAATGCACAAAGGGACATCTAGGGTCACTCCTGTAACTGCAATAATGCACAAAGGGACATCTAGGGGTCACTCCTGTTACTGCAATAATGCACAGAGGGACATCAAGGGTCACTCCTGTTACTGCAATAATGCACACAGAGGGACATCTAGGGTCACTCCTGTAACTGCTATAATGCACAGAGGGACATCTAGGGTCACTCCTGTTACTGCAATAATGCACAAAAGGACATCTAGGGTCACTCCTGTAACTGCAATAATGCACAAAGGGACATCTAGGGTCACTCCTGTTACTGCAATAATGCACAAAGGGACATCTAGGGTCACTCCTGTTACTGCAATAATGCACAGAGGGACATCTAGGGTCACTCCTGTAACTGCAATAATGCACAAAGGGACATCTAGGGTCACTCCTGTTACTGCAATAATGCACAGAGGGACATCTAGGGTCACTCCTGTAACTGCAATAATGCACAAAGGGACATCTAGGGGTCACTCCTGTTACTGCAATAATGCACAGAGGGGGACATTTTGAATGTCCACTGTAATTGGAACTTGGGTTTCAACTTTGACTGCAGTAATAGATAGAGGGACATATGGGGTATCTTCTGTGAGTCATATAATGAACAGAGATATTTGGGGTGGCCATTGCACCTATAATGATGCATAGAGAGACATAGGTATATCCTGTCTGATATAATGTACATAGAAAATTCAGGGGGGGGGGGGCGGGGGTCTTCTTTCATCAATTAATAAAGAGGTTTATGTTCCTTATAATTATGAGTTCGATATTTCCCTGCCGCCATAAAAGTTGTAAGAGTTTCATTGAACATAATTACATTTCTAGATTTTGTTATCAATACTGTGAAATCATTATTATTCGAATTTTCGTGGTTTTCGTGGATAGGTCAATCCACGAATTTAAGACTTGACGAAATTTTAACCCAACAAATAATTCCTACCATGTCTGTCCGTATATTACAACATGTGTCGACGCTTTTCTGGCCGATTTTTGACGTATGAATGTATACAAAAAATCACTTTAGTGACAGATTAAATCCATAAATAGTTTAGTTCTGAAATATTTAAGAAACTTGAAAGAAAATCCGTTTGTATGTCTTCAGTATGCTGTCACAAATGTCTGTCGCATATAAACATCAGGGGGACTACTTGAGCGTTGTAGGCTACTTAATTGTGTTAGCCAGAATATGTATCATAATCGAGTAAATATGGCAACCTAGTGCATTAATTATAGCCGATAAAACTTCTCAGTTTACACTTATTAATTGTTAATCTAATTGATGTTGTAATAAAAGTGTACAAAACAAAATACCAGTGGCTATAAAAGATAAATTGCAAATTCTTTTACCAAATTTTAACAAGACTAGTTTGTATATGATCCATTTAAATGACTGCTATTCCGAAAATATCAAAGAAGTCTTTTATTAGATGTAAATAACAGTTACTGTTTTGAGCCACTTGCTGGTATTAATTTACATGCATATAAATTTACACGGTCAAGTAGTTTTGTGTCAAAAATGGTAAGACTGATTCAGGGTGTAAACGTCTTTACTCGCTGGTTAAAAAGTGGCAGGTGTCGTATAATTTATGCAATGTTTACATCGGCAAATTATAGGGGCATTGTGACCAATAGTACTGCATATCATGTCACTCAAACGTGTTAATTGCAGTCAGTTATCGGCGGTAAGTGTGTTGCTGCCTAATTAACAAGAGCTGTGCTATATACATGCGGTAAGTAAAACAGCATGGTGATTAAGTGAAGATTACTTTGCATTACTTATTAATTTTGTTTTCCAAGGAAATGAAAATCAACGAATTTAAGAACCCACGAAAATGCCCGTTTTGATAAAACCACGAAATTTCATGCCCACAAATATAAATGATTTCACAGTACTTTGTTGGAGGAAAATAAACTCGTCTTTCTTTGTTGAAGAAGTACTCGTGTTCTACTTCTTTGTATTTCACTTGATATACGCATATCAACCAGTTTGTCCTACAAACTGTATAAGGGTTAAAAATAATTCATTACCCTTGACTGATATTGAGTTTCTTAACCTATTCAGGTGTACAGGTAGGTAGCTTGATTTAACAAAAGTTAATTTCGCACTGACAGATTAATTTTGAGTGCTTTTATGTTTTATATTGGGTAAAAAGGAGACTGTTATTATCATTTTAGACTTGGTGCAGAGGGGTTGTTTTGAGAATTTGAAAATTTATTGTTAAATGAAAGTCATGAACAATATGATTAAGTGTAAGATTATTAGTAAGTTGCTTATAGGCTTTCTTTTGTATTACACTAGTGGGTTCAAGCAGTTAAATTGGGCGCATAAGCTTGTAAAAAAAAAAACTTGAACAATAATCTGTATATCTTATGTTCCCACTTCTTACTGTATCCCACCATTTCACTTTAATTCCACTTTCCCCATCCCTATCAGTTATTAAAAAAAACACACATACAAAGAAGAAAAAAAACCCAGAAAATCTATGAAAATAAGTCACCCGTAACTATTTATAAAGTTTATATGAATGAATTTTAGTTAAACAAATGCTGATGCCCAGTAAATAATCAATTTTTCAATATTGAAATAAAACTGCTACGAGCAATTGAGACAACAGAACCTGTAGTATCCTTTTTCATGTAATATACTACATGCGAAAAGTTTTAATTAGTTGGTTACACTTCCTAAAGTCATAGATTTTGAATAGAAATATGCCCACTGTCATGCTATTTTGAAGGTTTTTCCTTTCACTTTACTTTAAATGGCCGGTACTCAACAATTTTAAAGCCTTAATTAAAACTTGGACTGTTCTGTTACCTTTATCATTAAATGTGCAACTTTTTAATGAAACTTTGAATAAGTATTATCAAGAGCATTGTAGAATTTAACAAAATATAGCCAAAAAGATTATTTTGTTAATATAAAATTATCATGAACACATGTGTAAGTTTATTTTTTCTCTATTTTTATCTTTAATGAAGCCGGCACAGTTTAAGCTTGATCCTCGTTTAGCCCGACTTCTTGGGGTTCACACACAGACAAGACCAGTGATCATCAATGCCCTCTGGCAGTATATCAAGACCCACAGGTTGCAGGATCCCCATGAGAGGGAATACATCAACTGTGACAGATACCTAGAGCAGGTAAATATAGGCTACCCATGTTTATAACATCTCTAAAGTAATGATGTATATAAGATGTTAATTGAGGTAAAAGATGTGTATTGATTGATGAGGTAAAAGATAGTTATTGTGAGATAAAATATGTTAATTGACGTAAGAGATGTTGTTTGAGGTAAAGGATGTTGATTGGTGAGGTAAAAGATATTTATTGAGGTAAAATATGCTTATTGAGGTAAAAGATGTTGATTACTGAATGAAAAGATGTTGATTGTTGGGATAAAAGATGTTGATTGAGATAAGACATGTTTATTGTGGTAAGAGACATGTTAATTGTGGTAAAATATGTTAATTGAGGTAAAACATGTTAATTGAGGTAAAACATGTTATTTGAGGTAAAAGATGTTATTTGAGGTTAAACATATTAATTAAGGTAAAACATGTTTGTGTGTTTTTTAGCTCGACTATTCGCAGAATAATCGAGCCATTTGTCGGCGTCGGCGTCCCTGTGGTTAAGTTTTTGCATGTAAGCTGGTATCTCCATAACTACTGAAGGGAATGGATTGAAACTTCACACACTTGTTCTTTGTGATTGTCTAAGATGACTGGCATACGTCCCATAACTCTGATTTGCTTTTTTGCATAATTATGCCCCTTTTTCGACTTAGAAATTCTAGGTAAATTTTTGCTTGCAAGCTGGCATCTCCATAACTACTGAAGGGTTTGTACCTTTTCGGACAATTTTATGTATTCATATAGGTAAGCATTATTATACTCAATGAAACACCCTTGTGACAACTTTTCGAATAGTCGAGGGTTACTGTCCTCCGACAGTTCTTGTCTTTTAATGAAATTTAGAAAGATGTCATACTGTTTCTGCTATCGATATTTCTTTGGTATATTATACTATAGAACTATTTTTAATTTTATTGTAACTGTTTTCAATTTGTCTTTGGCAGATATTTGAGTGCAAGCGTATGAAGTTTGCAGAGATTCCAGGAAAACTTCACTCTTTGTTGATGCCACCAGATCCTATTGTCATAAATCATGTAATCACAGTAGAGGGACCGGACTCGAGAAAAACTGCATGTTACGATATAGATGTTGAAGTGGTATGAATTTTTTAAAAGAAGTGATCCTTTTAAGTCAATGCTACTTTGTAGCATGTATCAGCTACTGTGTAGCAGGCAACACAAAAACGATTAACAGGCCAAAATGTGTCTGGCATTTCTCACCTGTGCAATCACCGAGTACAGCAAACAAACAAATAGCTTTCACGGTGATTCACCAAATGTTCACCAATATCACGCATCAGACAATCTTTTCAACTTAACTCTGTGAATCTTCATCGTATCTTCTGCCATGTTTGTTTTCACTATTGGTAATGACTAAAATACATACTAAAATCACGTGTATTAGCTGACCGGGTCATCTTGTGTGTGTATTGATGGATTGATCTGTGTACTAGTATTCATCAATGATTTTCATTTCTGTTGTTGAGCAGGTTGACCAATACTGTTAAAAATGCCTACACGTAAAATAATTGAATTCTTTTTGCTTTAGTCAACATCTGAAAAAGATACTGATGAAAATGAGCCATCCACATCTAAACAAGTTGAAAGCCCTGATTCGCGTTATTATATCTATGACTTGTAGTATAAAAATGAATCCCTGTATTTAGTCTGAAGTTTTCGGGAATTCTATTGAGTGACCACTTTATTAAGAGACCACTTTTTGGCAGTACCTTGAGTGGTCTCTTAATACAATGTCCACTGTATATAAGAAATTATTTTTTTTTTATTTTTAGACTTTTGGATCTCAGCGGAGTTCCTTTAAGGTTAAAAAGACTGCTGGTTGCTGTTTCAAGAATGTTAATGATATTGCAATGATATTGCATGAAAATTTGTTGCTGTGTTTTGGCATTTGAGCAATAACAGGCCAAACATGAATATCTTGTTTTAGCAAGGACAGCTGCATTATGTTCTGTCATTATCATTTATGACACATGTTTCCAATTTAGCTAACATTATATTTGCTGCCCTGGTTATCTGACATTAGAGTGGTGGATAAAAATAGAACTTCGGTTATTCACATTTTCTAAGCGATTGCACATGACTTGTCGGTGAATGTCTAGCGGTCACAGTTCATATAGATTTGGGAAACAGCCGGGACAAAATCATCTGTAGTTATGTAAACTGAAAGCTATTACAATAGTTTTATCATATAATAAAAATAGATTGTCGGGCAAACAGCGCCGTCAGTAAGGCGCCGACTGTAGGTCAAGGTAGCAAATGAAGCGTACTCAAAGTATTAAATGTAGTGTTGTTTCAAACCGAAATAATGATGAATTTTGTACTTTAAAGATGTTGTTCTCTGACATTAGTGCACTCTTGTCATTACAATTGACCTTTAAATTAACAGTCGACCTAAATTTTTTTAACATACAGTATATGCGTGAATAACATGTAATGAACTTTGATTGAAATTAGGATGTTCCTCACAAGTTTACCCAGTATGTTGATAAACTGTTACATGTGTGTTTTACATCAAGACTTTTTGATAGTCTTCAATAATTTATTCTTTTTGTCAAATTTTACATAATCCAACATTTAAGTGGCAGTAGCTATTTATTTATTGTTGCCTACTTTGTGATTAATGGTGATTGTGGGGTATTTAGGGAGGAAGCCTAGTGTACAGTGAGGGCCTGTTATTCTATCTTGTCTCTTAAGCAAGCAGATGTTTCAAAGTATTGTGTCCCACTTTAGACAAATGAACAATGTAAAAGTACATCATGTAACTCTTGTGACTTTTTTAACACATGTTGAAAAAAGGGAAATAACTGAGTTATTACTGTAAAAAGTAATTAACATAATTGTCTCCCTTTACTGAGTCAGTGTCACTTGCAACAAACAACAAATGGAACCTAAAATTTACCCTTATCCTACTGACTTTGTGAAATAGACACTTGCAATTTCAGTATTTGTAATTGTCTTATATTAATGAAAGTGATTTTAAAGGGGCTTCACTGAATATTTTTTATTTTTTTACGCAACTAGAAATGTTTTTTTTTTTAGGAAATAACCATTTTTATTGTGCAAAATGATCTAAAAAATAGAAAAAAAGTGTTAATTTTGAATATATTTCTTAATTATCAATAACATATTTTTCTGTTTTAAATGTCCAAGTTGATTGTTAAAATTTTCTATTATAATGGCCTTAGGAGCTCAGTGGAGCTCTTTTTAATTTTGAAAATACTAAAATCAACTAGCCAGTAGTATTGATTCATCTCAGACATTATAGATTTGCCGCTTGCCCTGACAGTATTATGTTGTTGGTGTATTTTATGCAAGTCACTAATCTTTTCAAGCTTCCAGAGATTTAAAATGAGCCGCGTCACAACAAAACCAACATAATGGGTTTTAATCACTTTCGAGTCCGCTTCCTGGAACCAACCAGTACTGGTGTCATATGAAGAAACATGGTCGTGACCCGAGTAGGGCTCGAACCCATGATCTCTGGGTTGAGAGGCAGACACCTTAACCACTAGGCCACCTCTCCCCTCTAACATAATGGGTTTGCAACCAGCATGGATCCAGACCAGCCTGTGCATCCATGCAGTCTGATCAGGATCCATGCTGTTCACTATCAGTTTCTTTGCTTGTTATAGGGTCTGTAAGCATACAGCATGGATCCATGCTGGTCGCAAACCCATTATGTTGGTTTTGTCATGGCGCAGCTCGTTAATGTTTGTTTTTATGCCCCCACAAAGTGGGAGCATATAGCGTTGCACTTGTCCGTCCGTCCGTCCGTACGTCTGTCCGTCCGTCCGTCCGTACGTCCCAAAATCTTGTGAACGCAACTCCTCTTAAACCAGATGGCAGATTTTGCTTAAACTTTCAGGGATGAACAACCTAAATGTGTAGATGGTAGTAAAGGAAGGAATTTTCGTTGCGACCAAATTTGACAGAATTATGGCCCTTTGTTGATTTTTTCACTATATACTATGTAGAAATTTTGTGAACGCAACTCCTCTTAAACCGGATGGCAGATTTTGCTTAAACTTTCAGGGATGAACAACCTTAATGTGTAGATGGTAGTAAAGGAAGGAATTTTTGCTGCGACTAAATTTAACAGAATTATGGCCCTTTGTTGATTTTTTCACTATATACCATATAGAAATTTTGTGAACGCAACTCCTCTTAAACCAGATGGCAGATTTTGCTTAAACTTCCAGGGATGAACAACCTTAATGTGTAAATGGTAGTAAAGGAAGGAATTTTTGCTGCGATCAAATTTAACAGAATTATGGCCCTTTGTTGATTTTTTCACTATATACCATATAGAAATTTTGTGAACGCAACTCCTCTTAAACCAGATGGCAGATTTTGCTTAAACTTCCAGGGATGAAATACCTTAATGTGTAGATGGTAGTAAAGGAAGGAATTTTTGCTGCGGCCAAATTTAACAGAATTATGGCCCTTTGTTGATTTTTTCACTATATACCATATAGAAATTTTGTGAACACAACTCCTCTTAAACCGAATGGCAGATTGGCAGATTTTGCTTAAACTTCCAGGGATGAACAACCTTAATGTGTAGATGGTAGTTAAGGAAGGAATTTTCGCTGTGACCAAATTTAACAGAATTATGGCCCTTTGTTGATTTTTTCACTATATACCATACAGAAATTTTGTGAACACAACTCCTCTTAAACCGGATGGCAGATTTTGCTTAAACTTCCAGGGATGAACAACCTTAATGTGAAGATGGTATTCAAGGAAAGAATTTTTGCTGTGACCAAATTTAACAGAATTATGGCCCTTTGTTGATTTTTTCACTATATACCATATACATGTTGTCAGTGGGGGCATCCGTGTCCTTTGGACACAGTTCTAGTTTTGTTACAGGATGACACATTGAAACAACAGATGAACTCGTTCCTGTTGTCAACACAGAGCCAGAATGAGATTGCTAACTTAGATAGCAAGGTTTGTATTGGTGGAACTACCAAACGAGGGGTACGTTTATCGGTAAACGATTGGGGGTATGATGTCTGAAACCGTCCGCTGTTGTCATATTTGCATGTTTGCTAGCTTTATCAAGGTTTGTAAGTTGTCTGTAAGAGCCAACTCAGATAAGCTGAATAAAGTGTTAGGTATTACATTCCTGTCGCTGGAGCTGTGTTTGTATAAAACCTCAGTCTGGTAGAAAGCAATGGACAGTGTGTTAAGTTTCTCTAGACCTGTATAAATATTCATGTCTTGAAGCCATGCTATAAACCTGTCAGATTTAGGTCAGTGAACAGAGTGTAAGGTTTCAGGATCTACTATTAAAAGATTAATTATTAGGAGCTATGTTACTCATGTCAAGGTCATTGGCAGGGTCAAATTAATAAGCCTGCCATGTCAAATTGACCTGAGTGTTACTTGAATAACGTCATTGGCAGTTTTAGGTTTATAAGCCTGTCAGATCAAGGTCATTTACAGAGTGTTACTTTAATAACCATGTGATGTCAAGGTCATTGGCAGTGTTGTTTCAATTACCATTTCATATCAAGGTCTTTAGCAGAGTGTTTGATTAATAAGCCAGTTGTTAATGAGTTTTATCTTTTGAGTTGAACTCTGTCTGTAAATTTAAGATCAAACCTCATTATAGTCTATGGATAGAAATGTTAGGTTTATATACATGTTGTTCAAGAGTTCTTATATTAAAAGCAGCACTCATGCTGTTAGTTTAATGGCCCTGTCTGGTCAAGGTCAATTTAATACTAATAGCCTGTCGGGTCAAGGTTTGCAACTTTGAATCTTATTTACTTATGTTAAATGTTGGCTCTAATATCTTAATTCATATATAATTCTATTCCCATTAAGTTATTAATATCATAATATATGTGGTTAACCAGTTTGAACTATATATGTGGTTAACCAGTTTTAACTATATATGTGGTAAACCAGTTGGAACTATATATGTGGTTAACCAGTTTGAACTGGAAAGAATTCAGAAACATTTGTTATTTCATTGTCTTTATGACATTTGACAACTGATGCAATAGAAAGAAAAAACCAGTTTGAAAAATCATTATGATTTTGTGGAAATAGTTCATTGTTGAAGTGAATATTATTTGTTGTACAAATTTGGTTTTGTATTACAAATTTGTTGTGTTTCTTTCTTGAGCATTTTTAAAACACTTATAATGAATGATAAATAGGTCCCTATTTCTACTTGTAATGGTGTAATATTGTGGATAAGTAGGTTCTTTCTGTGGCCAAAAATTCTTATCGCCTTCTGCCTGGAGAAGTCGAGCATATGAAAGCATTAGTAATATGATATTACATAATGTCTATGTCAAGTCACATACAAATGCTTACATGTATTTAAGACAGAAATTAAATGTTTCATGATTATTCTAATTACTTGTAAGGTGAATGCATGACCTTTGTTTAGATTTTGTATGTCAACATCATATTGTTGGTGAATTGAAGGTTAAGGATAGACCAAAGTTTATGACAAAACAGAATGTCATTTTTAATTCAGATTTAATATTCCAGCATGTTTAATATTGTGTCACGCATGGTACTTTATATTTTGTTTATGTGTATTTGAATTGTTTGTTGAATATCATTATTTCTTTATGTTTGTGTTTGTTAATTATTACTCTCTTTTTATTAATTTGATTTTGATTATTTAAACGTTCTTAATATGCACTTTCATCCTCTCTTTTTTTAATCTGACCAGCATCATCTATTTTGCTCTGCATTTATTTCAATATTTCTTTGTTAACTGCTTCATTTTAATTTGTTTATTTTAATATACATTATTTTCTATTTCTTTTTTCATATCATGTATATTAATTTAAATATCTATTTCTTTATTATCTTAAGTGTCTCATTCACGCATGTTAAATTTTGCTATCTCATATGTTTATTTCTGCATCTGAGTTTGTTTGTTTTTCATTTTCTTTTTCTTTTCATATCAAGATAATCTTTTTCTTTCAACATTAATTTTAAGGATTTTTGTTTTTTCAACACTGATGTATATTCAGCATGGTGGTATATTTGTTTTCAGATACATGAAACTGTGGAGACCATTAATCAGCTGAAGACAAATCGTGAATTCTTCCTGAGTTTTGCCAAGGATCCACAAGAATTCATCAACAACTGGCTTATCTCACAAACCAGGGACCTCAAGGTTTGTTGGTTTGTTTGTTGTTTTTTTTTTCAGCAGGTTTGAACACTTTTTTGGTCATATCTCTATTGTTGGTCTGTGTAAACAGTTCTTCTAAGTTACTAACAATAATTACTTATTTCATGGCATTTATCAACTACAAGTCTCACATGATTTCTGAACCAGTGATTAGAGAAAAATTACCATTGAACTGGATGTTTGAGATTACAGAGAAATTTTCCTTAGCCCTAGGATCAAACCAGATGATTTATCACATTCCCATGCCGATTTTGCCACTCCATAAGAAACGGTATTGCACGGCCTTGCATATATTTTGACGTGACATCATTTACGTATATACAAACAGTGTAAAGACACGCTAAATGTCACATTATAGGTGCGTCAATGAAAATGATTCTCTTTTTTTTCTGCTCTTTAAACAGTCTTTATTTAGGGTATGTGATAAATAGAATATTAATTTTGTGTAGGTTCATTACTAAATTTATTGAACTTGTTGAATAAAATAATATTTTTCTGCCAGAGACTTGCAAAATAAAGTTTTATTCAACTTGTTCAGTAAATTCAGTATTGAACAAACACTCATTCATTATCCTCTATATATAGATTGTTAATGACGTTATTTCCTGTCAATTAGCCAGAACAAAAAAAAAAGAAGAATTTTATCAAACAACTTATCTGCTGATGTTTAAACTTAGCAAAGCCCAAGTGTTAACATAAAAAGTTATTAAATCAAAGTGATTTTATAGTCCATATCAACGTAAAAGGGGAAAAAAGTGAAATATACTTTTTATCTTATATTGTATTTTATTATTATTGCATTAGTATTAGTCATATGTACACTACCAAAACGATATCAATTTTTATGTTGTCTTGAACATTTGTTATACCTTTTAATGCAAAAAGATTGAACCAGAATGTTTCACTTGTTAACATAAAAGTCATATATTTAAGGTGTCTGCCTCTTAACACAGAGATCATGGGTTTGAGCCCTACTCGGGTCATGACTATGTTTCTTCATATGACACAAGTACTGGTTGGTTCCTGGAAGCGGACTCGAAAGTGATTAATATAAGTTGCAAGAACTTGTTTCGCAATCAAGCTTAAATAAATATGTTTAAACCAAAAGTCATATTGTACTGTTTCATATGAATTATATCATATTATTGATATAGTTCAGTATCTCATTGAAAAGTATGAAATATATAATTATATCTTGATACAGACTATGACAGATGTAACGGGTAACCCGGAGGAGGAGAGACATTCTGATTACTATGTGAGACCTTGGTCACAAGAGGCTGTCTGTAGATACTTCTACGGAAAGGTATTATCATTGCTGTTGTAGTTATTATAATTACACACATATAACATAGATAAAAATATATGCAAACAATTTTGGTATCAAATGTTTTTTTGTTTTGATTTCTTAAATTTTATAAGGAGCAATGAATTATTTTCTAGGTTCCCTTTCCCTCAATTGATCAGATTACAAAAAAATATGTGTCAAATTTATTTAAACAAATTTGTATCTTTAATATGAGGTTTTTAGTAAAACATGCATAGCAAAATAAAGAAATTAATATTCTTTGTATATATGTATGAATTGTTAAAGCACCATGACATTGTCAAGTTTATAAGACAACTCTCCGGCAATACTTATGGAGGGATACCTGTGCATTTTCTAATCAGGATAGAGCATGTATCTTTTATTAGGCAGCTGGAAGGTTTTCTTGCATAAAAGAATCTAAAGATCTAGGTGGGATATATAATTAAGCTACTGCAATGCTGATTCCACCCCTGTCACTAGTGCACAGTGTGTAACAAGGACACAATCTGTGGTTCTTTATTATTTGTCATTTAGAGAGTTGTTTCCCCTGGACCAGTATTCTTCTATGGGTCAGTGGTTATGTAATGATTTCCCGCCAGTTTGATTATGTAGAGTGAATGTTTTATATATTTTTATATTGAATGTAGGTTCAGCAAAGACGCATGGAGTTGGAGCAAGCACTCGGAATACGCAGCAATACATAGACAAGTGATGATAAGAGATTGTTGTTATAATATTGTGTTCACTTTCTGTATGTAAATATGTCATTCATTTTACCCTGTACTATTGCATTAACAGACATTTGGGAGGACATTTACATTTACTGTATTATATATACAAATTTAACTCGATACAGTGTTGGAGCAGTACCTCTAGACTCTTGAGAAATCGTGATCACTCACTAAGTAGAAAAATATATGGGTATTTTTTGCCGATTCTTGTATTTTTCATTCTTTATTGTATATAAATTGGTGTAAAAAGATGAATTCAATGTTTTAAAGTGCATTTCTGTTGGTTAAAAGGCAAGATTTTAGGATTTAATCATTATTCAGGCGCCTTGTACGGTATATACTGGAATACGGTATTTAGTGTGGTGCTCCAAACACTTTTTTTAATCTCACTCATTATAAACATGCACATTGACTATCTATTGTCGCAAATTTCTGTAATTTTGTCATCCATTTTACCCTATACTGTAGAAGTGAGCGATATTAGTAAGATAACTTTATACATTGACTGTTTTATCAGTTATTTTGGAAAATGTGTCACACATTTTATACACCATTGAAGCTTGATGGCCTTAGTTATAACATGTTCAGTAACTGTACTGTTTATTCTGTAAAATTGCTGTTAATGATACTGTGTCTTTTTTGTGACCATCATTATTAAAGGGAGACTATAAATTGTTGAGAATTTACTCTCACCATGCTTCATATACTAAATGCACTTGTCCATCTTTCAGTCATCATTTTTAATGAAAAATATCAAAATATGAACTAAAATCAAACATTGCAGACAATTTACCTACTAGTGGTAACTGATTCTAACACAGTAACCAGTATTGTCTTATATCAGATCTCTGTACATGTACATGCTTTTGAAATATTTATTTCATGAATGGTTTTGATGGACAAATCTATTTAAGATATAAGGTGTGAGGATTAATTATTGTAGTTTCATTACATTGATAATGGTTTATAGATATGTATTACACCATTGGAGATACTTTGTTGCAGTTGTAACCTATGTACATTTTTGTCAGAAATGTTCTTGGTTGTACAATTTTTAATGAAATAAACATTTATTTTTGATGACACAAATTTTCTAATTCATTGAACAGTGACAGATTTGTTGATAAGCTTCAGTGAAATTTCCTTTGTATATTGATATATATGACATTGTAATAATCTTGAGATATATTGTATAAAGCCTCATTTGCATAATTTTCTCCTTTTTTTTTACTTTTTCAGTTTAGTACAAGCTAATATTAATATTGATCAATGTTTTAGTTCATTTTACTACAGCATCTGCTAAAACAGAAAATGAATAGCCTCTGCCACAAGTATAGAGATTCACTTGCATGCAGTCTACCAGGCTTTATACCTAAGGCTGTCTTAAGTTGTCATCTTGATAAGCTTAATATTAATATTTGACAGATCCAATACGGTAACTGGACAAGTCCCAACTAAATATTAATATTTGACAGATCCAATATGGAAACTGGACAAGTCTCAACTAAATATTAATATTTAACAGATCCAATATGGTAACTGGACAAGTCAAACTAAATATGAATATTTGACAGATCCAATATGGTAATTGAACCAAGTCCAGCTAAATATTAATATTTGACAGATCCAATATGGAAACTGGACAAGTCCAGCTAAATATTAATATTTGACAGATCCAATATGGTAACTGGACAAGTCCAACTAAATATTAATATTTGACAGATCCAATATGGTAACTGGACAAGTCCAACTAAATATTAATATTTGACAGATCCAATATGGTAACAGGACCAAGTCCAGCTAAATATTAATATTTGACAGATCCAATATGGAAACTGGACAAGTCTCAACTAAATATTAATATTTGACAGATCCAATATGGTAACTGGACAAGTCCAACTAAATATTAATATTTGACAGATCCAATATGGTAACTGGACAAGTCCAACTAAATATTAATATTTGACAGATCCAATATGGAAACTGGACAAGTCCAGCTAAATATTAATATTTGACAGATCCAATATGGTAACTGGACAGGTCCAGCTGAATATTAATATTTGACAGATCCAATATGGTAACTGGACAAGTCCAACTAAATATTAATATTTGACAGATCCAATATGGTAACTGGACAAGTCCAGCTAAATATTAATATTTGACAGATCCAATATGGTAACTGGACAAGTCCATTTATGAAATTGAGCAGGGCAAGGGTTAAAGTTGTTTATTTTCCAGATATATGTTCACAATGTTTGAATGGTATATTCTCTGACTGTTTCAGCTTAAGATTTTAAATCAGTCATCTGATATTGTTTCACATTTATTTTAAACATGAAAAATGCATAGGATCACTCCCAAATTCATATTTTAATGAAAAATTTGGGGAACTAGCCAAAGTCACTTGATATAAATTCACTAAGAAATGTTAAATGTATCAACATATTTAGTGTAAAAAGAGGTTTTTCTCTCAATAAAAATTAAAAGAAACAGATTAAATAATGACTTGCAAGTTTGCCTCTTAAAGTGAACAACAAAAATTTTAAACTGAATTGTTTTTGGTTTAAATTGAGACTTTTTCCAGATAAACACTTTTTTTACCTAGGGATTTGAAGTTTATTTTTTCAAAGACTGTCTTTTTTGTTTATGAGGTTTTGTTGTGGTATTTTTTTCCTGTAAATTTATAAGAAAATCTGAAACTGGAATGATAATCTCAAGGGAACAAATGAATTTTTTGAAGTAAATGATTTTTGTATATGACATTATTTTGTAATAATTGTATATGAAATAAATTTTGTCAAGTAGATTGTTTTTCTTGTGCTTTTATACAAAAGAAAGAGTACTCTTTACTGAATATTTACATGTACATCAGTATAACTTCTGAAGGTTGCATAATCCAAGGGGTGATATTGCAGTCCGTCTCTGGTATCCATTAACATATTTTACCAGAGACTTCTATTGTTAAATACGGACCTCTCCGCATAAGTACCCTCTCATTTGTAAGGCACGCCATTTATGTGAACTTTTTATTTCAAAATGTAAGAGAAAAAAACGTGTATGAAAAGGTAATGAATATAAATATGACAAACTTAGGTAGTATGAGACTTGATACAGGTATATATGTCTACTGTTATGTCAGGTGTACATGTGTACTGTTATGTTAGGTATACATGTCTACTGTTATGTCGGGTATATATGTGTACTGTTATGTCAGGTATACATGTCTACTGTTATGTCAGGTATACATGTGTACTGTTATGTCAGGTATACATGTCTACTGTTATGTCAGGTATACATGTGTACTGTTATGTCAGGTATACATGTCTACTGTTATGTCGGGTATACATGTGTACTGTTATGTCAGGCATACATGTCTACTGTTATGTCAGGTATACATGTGAACTGTTGTGTCAGGCATACATGTCTACTGTTATGTCAGGTATACATGTGTACTGTTATGTCAGGTATACATGTGTACTGTTATGTCAGGTATACATGTCTACTGTTATGTCGGGTATACATGTCTACTGTTATGTCAGGTATACATGTCTACTGTTATGTCGGGTATACATGTCTACTGTTATGTCAGGTATACATGTCTACTGTTATGTCAGGTATACATGTCTACTGTTATGTCAGGTATATATGTCTACTGTTATGTCAGGTATACATGTCTACTGTTATGTCAGGTATATATGTCTACTGTTATGTCAGGTATACATGTGTACTGTTATGTCAGGTATACATGTCTACTGTTATGTCAGGTATACATGTCTACTGTTATGTCAGGTATACATGTCTACTGTTATGTCAGGTATATATGTGTACTGTTATGTCAGGTATACATGTCTACTGTTATGTCAGGTATATATGTGTACTGTTATGTCAGGTATACATGTCTACTGTTATGTCAGGTATATATGTGTACTGTTATGTCGGGTATACATGTCTACAGTTACGTCAGATATATATGTGTACAGTTATGTCAGGTATACATGTCTACTGTTATGTCAGGTATATATGTGTACTGTTCTGTCAGGTGTACTGTTCTGTCAGGTAAACATGTGTACTGTTATGTCGGGTATACATGTGTACAGTTACGTCAGGTATATATGTATACTGTTATGTCAGGTATACATGTCTACTGATATGTCAGGTTTACATGTCTACTGTTGTGTCGGGTATACATGTCTACTGTTATGTCAGGTATACATGTGAACTGTTATGTCAGGTATACATGTATACTGTTATGTCAGGTATACATGTATACTGTTATGTCAGGTATACATGTATACTGTTATGTCAGGTATACATGTATACTGTTATGTCATGTATACTGTTATGTCAGGTATACATGTGTAATGTTATGTCGGTATACATGTCTACTGTTATGTCAGGTATACCTGTGAACTGTTATGTCGGGTATACATGTGTACTGTTAATGTAAAGTATACATGTCTACTGTTATGTCAGGTATACATGTGAACTGTTGTGTCAGGTAAACATGTGTACTGTTATGTCAAGTTTACATGTGTACTGTTATGTCCGGTATACATGTGTACTGTTGTGTCAGGTAAACATTTTTACTCGTAGTAATGTTAATCTAATGTAATAAATAGTGTCGACAGAACTTTTTGTATAAGATCATTACTTATTTCCACTATCTAATACAACTACATAATTTATACTTTTTGTAATGTTTATCATTCGTCTGGTCAGGTTGAAAAATGTTATACTTTCACATAATTTAAAACTGATAAGCCCTTCTCGGATTCTAAGGTTTGATAAGACATCTACCAACGCTGTTGCTCTGTTAACTTAAGAAGTGCAGACGACACACGCTAATTCTCGTCCATTCACGTACGGGGGTGATGGCAGCGTCCCTGTGCGTACTTCAGCTAAATATAATAAGTTCCCGCCTTTAAACGTGCTACTTCCGGCCACATGGTCAGGTCTTGAATCCACACATATTAATTCCGACGCATGATTTTGTATATATCCACTTCCCATTAAATAACCTTAAAAAGAACATAAATAGTGCTTTCAGTGTTTCACGAACATGTCAAAAAATAAAACAAAAACAAAACTGCTCGCCTCTTGTGTAATTTATCAGTTACTTATAATTATCCTTTAAACTACCGGAAGACCGTTCTAAGCTGGGTGTATAATTCAACGAATGAAGGTAATTATGCAATACAACAAACGGTTATTAAAATAAAAATATGTGTACATTTCCATACAAATGAGGATAGTTGCGGACAGTGAAAATGCCAATTTTTAACAACAAAAAATCAGAAGCCATTTCATAGACTTCAAGACTAAAACAGAATCACATAAATATAATGTAAATGATGTACATTATCAACGGTGACACTATAAAACTATTTATCAAAAGCAAATTAATTAAAATGTTGGACCTTCTGAAGCCATATTTCATTTTAAGGGACACTCTTGTGTTCATAACCATCAAAGAGTTCATCTCTTGAAGCCAAATTTGTCATATTTTACATGTTATAACAATGAAATACCTTTGTATTCTTGTGTCCAGCCAGGAAAACATTCCGCCTTTCCAGGAATCATAATATGAGATAGTCGTCCAGCTGCCTGGCAGACACTACATGGTACGTCTTTATTTCGTAATTTCCCTCCTGAAATATGTGTATAATTTGACAACTTGAATAATATAAATGTAAGTTTCAAACGTATGCGTTTACTCTATTCCGCCAAAAGCCTAGCTATAAAACACCGTTTTCCGATACATTCTGTATATTCCAGACGTTAGATCTGGGTAATTCAGGCCATAAGTATGTTTCTCGTCAATTTCTAATTAAAATGAAATACAAGTTATTAAAAAAATAACAATGATAAAATATAATTGTACAAATAATTCCACGCAAATATTTATGAACTGAATAAAATGTCTTATCTTTTTGTCGCAATGGAAACGCATATACAATTGTAGTTTGTGATACCTGTAGTTGCTGTAAATGAAGAATCGGTGCTGCCATATTCTGTCCCGTAAACAAGTGCGCGATCTGAATCAGCGTTGTCGCTATAGTTACCCCATGTTGGAACTTCCGGTAGACATATTGTATTTGTGGCGCCACCTTGATGTTGATAATGTCCTCCAGCAGCATACCCTACAAACAAGACAAAAACAATGTCATGATCATTTATTTTTTAAATGTTTTATTAAAATCTGTTTAATTGAATACATATGTCGGAGAACATAAAAATCAATGAGAATCAAATTTCAGGAAAACAATTCTATTTCGGGAAAAGGACACCGTGAAAAGGGAACCTAGGGAAAGCGTCTATCAATCGCATCTTGTCGGTCCTTGATAAACAAACAATGTTTATTTCATTTTTACAACATAAATACTGATAGTTTTCGTGGATTGGAAAACAAGTCAAATGTGACTTATGTGAATTCCTTTCCACACATAAGGTACATGTACTTGCAATAGAAAATATGCACATATTTGGCAAGAATAATACAGAAACAAAGCAAATCAGATAAATAATTAAAATGAATATTTGTTAGAAGATAATTGTCTTGATAAGGACCTCGAACACAATAGTTAGGATACGGTATTTCGGTCACACCTACGCTCAAAAACATAACATGTATACAAATAGTAATTTACTTGACAAATTTTAATTTTAGTAAAGGTCCACATAAAATAAGTAAATAAATAGATATAGAACATGTAAAAGTAAACAGTACTTTTTATGTCATTATTGTTGTGGTTGTTGAAACCGAATGTACAAAATGTCAACCTGTTGACAAAATCGGATTTGTTTATCGGTGTACATAAGTATATAAATTGTTGTCAACCCTATTTTCAATCATAATTGTACCGAAACAGACTTTATTTTCCTTTGGATATCAAATATATACATTCGCTTTACATTATCGAAGATTTCACTCTCTGTTTCTGCACGGATTTATATGTAATGTAAATCCGTTGTTTCTGTTTACATTTGAAACTGATTTCTGTAAATCAATCGCTATCCTTTCTTTAATGGTTGATATGTTTTTTTACATTTAGAATAACATTTTTGAAAAAAATATAAATGCGACGAATAATGTTATGTCAACACAATTTTAACATTATTTTTTTTCTTTGAGGAAAGGACAAGAGCCAACAATCTAAATTCTAACCGTCAACAAGTACATTGTCTTATGATAATTAGTTGAAGGTTTCCGTGGTTTGACCCATAAAAATATAAACATTGTATTTAAAGCAATACGAGTACATTGCCTGGTGACATTAACTTGAAAATGACTGCATGGATTTTCCAAATTTCCTTAATTAGGCATATGCACGTTCAACGTTCAACGATTTTAAACTTTGCTACCTGGATTTATTTCCGGTTTTAAAATATATGATATCGCCTAGATTTTCTATTGTTTTTAATAATTTAATGAAAATAATATAACATTTGAATGACAATCATCTGGTCAACTGATAAATATCGTCAGTTACTCAAATGTCATCAGTTACCCAGATGGCATACTAGGCAAATATGAGTATGGAAGTTATAGATTCAATTTTGAAATTAAGTGAGTAAAGTATACCTTTGTACAATTGTTCTGACTGAAGAGGACATGACAAACTTCCCCATCTTACATAAACATGGCCACCTAGAATAAAGAAATGTTGATTTGTTTATTTTAATAAAACAAAAAACCTAGTACATGTACATAAACACATTAGAACAACAGATGTTATTAACGCTTGATGAAAACAAATCTGTCTCATGGGCGACGTACACAACTCTTTTATGAATTTGATAGTAGAACAAGTGTCACATAACGGTTGATTATATTCAGCTACTATAACAAGCAGACAACTGAAATTTCAAAAATTAGTTTCAACCTTTGGTGGTTGCCAAAAATATTTTGCCCTATGAAGGGCTACCATTCTTACATATATATCATTAATACGTATGTAACTACATTGCAAATGCGCTAACGTATGAATAAACCTGTTTTAACATCTTATAAGTCTGTTCATAATATACATTATATATGTAGATCTATATGCATAAAATCGGATTGAACTAATCCTCTACTCACATGAATGCGTGTTTAGCTCTTTAAAATATTTATATTTTAAAATGTTTAAAAATTATAGTGGGCTCCTTCAATTAAGCATAAATTAAAAAATAAACACACACAAACAAAACATAGCAGCAGCAACAACAACAACAACAAGAAAAGAAAAACAAAAAAACCCGCTATTTGTACGATAACAATTGTGTTTTTCCCTGGTTTAAACACCGATTTTTAAATACATGTATCTGACAGGTCATATCATGACGGTAGACTCACATGTTAACTAACCAATAATGACAAATGTCTCCGCAAGTGACCAAGTACTTAACCAAAAATAATTTTAGAATTTTCAGCAAAGAAAAAATGTCGAAGCTAACCTTGTACACTTCTTTTATCAACGTTTTCTGGAAAATCTTCAGCAGAAGCAGCTGTTGTAGACGCAGAGCCGGACACAGAAGCAGACGTCAAATCAGAAGGTAGAGGAGAAGAATGACCGGAAGGAGATGTTTCGTCTGTTATACTTATCAAGCTAGTTTTCGGACTGATTTGAGTAGTTGAAGAAACTGGATCATCTTGGGCATTACTGGTAGGTTCAGTCGAGATCTCAGACAAAGTCTGGCTTTCAGCATTTCTATCCTTGGTAGTTGTTGGTGACTCGGTGCTTGAGGTAGTGTCTTTGCTTGTTGAAGAAAACAATGTTGATGATTTGGTTGTTGTTTTTTTCTCAGTCACAGGAGGAGTAAAAGATTGCAGACGAGATGATAATTGACTAGTTGTTAACACTGTTGACTCAGAAAGAGTCGGGTTAGATGTTTCGATTAGTTTCGTCGTCAATGGAGAAGAAATACCTGAAACTGTACTTTTTGTAGGTCCGTCTGCGACTGAATCTTGACTTTGTGTAGTTGTTTGAGTTTTTTGTGTGGACGTAGAAATATTTTTTCTATCATTTATGTTTATTTCACCTTTAGATTTGTCACTAAATTCACATATGATTTTATTTTCCTTAAGACGGTCAACTGTTAACCAAACAATAGAAAATATGATAAAACCAAAAACAAGTCCACATACGAAACTAAATACAATTTTTCTTTTCCGAACCCTACTTCTATCGCCTCTTCGTTTCTTCCAGGTACTTAATTGGATAGGGTTTGAATTTGAGTCATTTTCTGCTGTAGGTTTTAAAATACTGGTATTACCATTCACATCCGGAAGATTGGTACAGGGTCTTATATAACGTGTGTAAGGTACCGTGTTTATATTACACCGATGACTGTCCGGATTGCTACAACTTCCGGTTGTATTTCTTTGTGTTCTCCCTAATGTTGCATAATGTTCAGAACTTTCGCTTATTGTCGATTCCATACTGTCGCACTGGTTGATGTTCGAACCTGACCTGGAGTTAGTGGGAAGTTGACTGAGATCTAAACTATGTATCATTATGTCCCCTCTACGTATATAACTCATGGTTCCTTGTTGATAACTATAACATAATTAAGAAGTCCGGTATTGGTTTGGTGGTACATCTTCTTATTCTTAAGTTCAAAATTAAATTCCGTCTCTAATCAGTTATTGATAATTTATGGCACCTTGACGCCCTAAATATCAATATATGAGATAATGTAGGGTATTTTTTCTTCAATATCCTGTATTTCCTGTAACGCCTTATTTAGCATGTAAAAATATTTTATCAGAAATCTTTGAAGTTAAATAAAGAAATTCTGATATGAAAACATTAAATTCCGTATTGTTAATTCCTACGTGATCCTAAATCTTCCGTATATTTTATTTATATTTTGTGAGATTATATTCACAAAACGTTTAAGAGTAATTTCTCGTATATGCTCTTAAAAGTTTCTGTAAGAAAATGAAATCATTTCATTGTGCATATGACTCTTAAATCTACTGAAACTGTGATGCTTTTTTAAAACGAGCTATTTAAGGTATCACATCCACCATGTGTTTGTAAAAAGTCAGCACACAGTAAGCGTCCACATGACAAGAGCGACATATTTCTTTATATTGTGTTTGACACAATATAATATAGACGCCAGCGGAAACCATATAGGTTACTCACCCAAGAAGACTGTAAATGTTTTTGCGTTGGTATTATGTATCTCATACTGGAATACCTTACTTCCGGAAAACTCATTTCTTCGTTCATACACAAGGACTTAAGCGACACTACAATTGATCTCGGTTCTTTAAATTCCTTAGAGTTGACTGTTAATAATGTAAGTACGTGTATTTTAACTCGTATTCCTCAGCATTGTTAGTAATATAAGTCGGAGTACGTGTATTTTTACTCGTATTCCTCGGCATTGTTAGTAATATTAGTCGGAGTATGTGTATTTTTACTCGTATTCCTCGGCATTGTTAGTAATATTAGTCGGAGTAAATGTATTTTAACTCGTAATCCTTGGCATTGTTAGTAATATATGCCGGAATATGTGTACTTTTACTCGTATTCCTCGGCAGTTTAGTAATATTAGTCGGAGTACTTGTATTTTAACTAGCAATCATTGGCATTGTTAGTAATATATGTCGGAATGTGTGTACTTTAACTCGTATTCCTCGGCATTGTTAGATATATTAGTCGGAGTACGTGTATTTTTACTCGTATTCCTCGGCATTGTTAGTAATATAAGTCGGAGTACGTGTATTTTTACTCGTATTCCTCGGCATTGTTAGTAATATTAGTCGGAGTATGTGTATTTTAACCAGCAATCCTTGGCATTGTTGTTGACCAGAGATAACATAGACCTATTGACCATTATATATACGGAAAATGACGAAGATAGCCGAATCTGCACGATCTATTGATGGATACTGTACCTTAAAAAGTAAAATAAGAAAACATGCTATTTTTGAACTGATAGGGTTATAAGAATTTTTATTAATTTTCACACGATATCAAAACCGAAATTAACAAGACTGTGCTGTATTTAAGGCCGTGATTAATTGAATTGTGACACCGACTATTCTTTGTGTTCGATTCCCACAGTTGACTTAGATTAGTATAGTAAGTCTCTATTATGTAGTTTGGCCACCGACGTGAGGATGTTGTGAACAATGAAATGTTTAATGTTTAACCATAAGTCTGCACGCTATTCACGTGGTGTCTTGTTTCGTCTATCTTAATCAATTTAACCAGCGTTTTGTTAACATGTTGTTAGTCATTGAACGCTAGTAATTGCAGTGAATACACTGGTATTGTATTTTTATAAGACAGAGTGAATCATTTCAGATAAGGGTATCATTTATATGTTATCAAATAGTGAAAGTTGTTAAATGAATCAACTCAATTTAAAAAGGAAAGCCCTGTATAGATTTGTTACTTATTATGAATTATTGACACACTTGTACATAATATTTTATCACTTATCGGATAAACAAAACATACCTTTTCTAACTCAACTGGTATTTGTTATTTTCAGGATTATAATGATGATGATGGTGATGGTGATGATGATGATGATCTGCATCACGTGGGTGATAATGCGGCGATATAGGTAATTTGGGGGTAAAGAAACGGAAAAAAATCCGAAAAGTGTTCGTTTTGGGAATGGAGCCAAATTTCAGTTCCAAAGTAGCATTAAAAATCACGGGATTATCATGCGTTTATATCACGATCTATTGGGGGGGGGGGGATTTGTTCAAAAGTAGGCTGTATTTTCTGAAAATATTCTCGCATATATGAATCATTTATCTTAAATCAAGTTAGGTTACTCAATATATGCCGATCGTGCTACCACATAAATCGTGACAATTTGTGCTTGAGTCTATTACCCGTTCCGTTGTTTTTTTGTCTCGATTTACCATGTGAATTAGTTTCTTTTACATATCATCTGAAGATAATTAAGGAGTTTTTGAAATTACTCCTCGTTTATCCCCCTTTTTTCTTCTTCATATCAATACTTCAAACTACATGTACATATATTTGCTTTCTTTCTTTTAAGTTACTATTAATCCTAAACTTGCTTGAACCGGAAGTGATTAGTCTTTGCCTTTCTTGAACCGGAAGTGATTAGTCTTTGCCTTTAGAATGTTTTATATCTGTTCCATTAAAGAAAGATAATCCCAAGAAAACTATGAATGATGGACGACGTAGTTGTTTCCCTTGAGATACTTTGTTAGATAAATAAATATTATTAATTAATTAATTAATTAATAAATAATATTTTGTATTAAAGGTAAGCATAAATAAAAACACAAAATAGCAACAACAGTTTTACTCAGATTCACATATTTCAGCTACTGAGAAGATTTATAGCGTGGCAAAGTTCTTGCAATGTGGGAAAATGAAATAAAAATACAGGTGTTTTATTCATAGCACCTGTAACATCGTGAATGGTCATTTTTTTGGTTCATAAATGATAAAATTGAGCCATTTGCCTGTGGCAATGATATGATAAACAAGAAAGCTTAAAAGATACGCTACTCGTTTATCTACTTAGTTATATGGTGCATGATTTCGCTGTATGGCGCTAATGTGTTTATAATTGAAATTTATGCAGATAGATGATTGATAACGGATATAGGTTAAAAGGTCAGTTATAAACTATTTCCACTTATCTTTAGTCATAGATGCTATAAACTGTATTAGATACTTCTTTTTTATTTCTTTGCTTTAGCTTTCAAAATACATGTGTTATATTTTTATAAAAATAATATTAACGTTGGAAATGTAAGATTACAGTTTTATTGTTGTAGATTAGATAAATCCTCAAGTAATCGAAGATTCACCTGTTAATTAATAAATGTATATTTCATCACAACATACATGATATATGAAGATGCTCACATATTTATCACACCAGTTTACATGTATATTCAAATTATCGCGATTTCGGAATAATTTCACGATAAGGTATTCGTGTTGCTGTACAATATCAAGTAAAATATTATTTAAAAAATCTTGTGAAATTTTATGATTTATACTGGTAAAAATACAAGCTCTTTCCCCTTTTTTCAAAAACAATATTAAACTGAAGCTATGATATATATTATTTACATTTGTAAGATTTTGGTGTACATTGCAAGAACTGCAGATTTATATATATCCTAAAATCTCTTATCTGATGCTTAAAGAACTAGATAATGCTAGAAGACGAACATGGGTTATCAGTTTAAGAAACCAACTGTGTGTGTCTTTCTGTTTTAAAAGCCTTTACACTGCGATCATTGCATGTTACGCTTTTAATTAAAGTCGATATTGCTCGGTCCAATCCCGTACCGTGCGTAAATCGTATTATTTTCTTATTCGCATTCGCTTTAGTTTAACGAAAGTAAATCATATACGACCTTATATGAGTTATAAAACCTTTTGTCTAGGACAGAATAAACATCAACACTAAAATAGTATGAAGGCCTTCGCATTGTTTCAATATCGTTTAATACACATCAATACACATCAATATCTTCGGAAGCTGAATCTCTGAAATGTCTGTAAAATAAACTATTATGTCGATATCTACGAACAGCAACACTACAAACAAAGAAAAAGACTTGTTTTTCCTTATCCACTGAAAACAATTATATTATAACATTTTCCTTATCTTATTTTAGATAATTTAATGGCTATTTTAAGCAAGTTAAAGGGTTAGTGGGAGTTTAAATACGACCTGTACAATACACTCCGACTTTCATTGTTACAATGAAATCGTTTGTGCTAAAGTAAGACAAACTTATCTAACCGTACAACTATAACTCCTTTAACTACAATAAACACATTTGTTCATTGAATTCAAATAAAACACGGACTTTATGTAGAATTGGAGAATCTTTTAATGTATCGTGAAACATTTATTCAAATATGAATTTCAATATGATATTCTCGGCGTAAATTTCTTTAACATATTATTTTTTGTACGTAGGGGGGCAAATATTGCTCATATACAAAATAGCATAAAGTCTCAATAGCGATACTGGTGGATACGCACTACGCTAACATGTCTACAATATTTATGATAAAGATAAAAACCTTCCTTTACAAACGAAGACGAATGTTCATCTTCGGAGATAACACCGATAAGATTTTACAAAAACGTTCAACATTTGCTTGAAATAGCAGAAATACGTTCTCGAATATAATTGAAGAAACTATCGCGGTATGAGGGTTAATAACCCCGAGGAAGGCCTTCGTTCTATAAGAAATGAACAAATATTTTCCTTCGTGAGAAAGGTCAAACATGGGTTTTATGTCGTTTAAATATTTAAATAGTTTAAAAGCGTGTTAGATACTTGTTATCTGAAGAAAATGACCCCGAATGTAAAATAATATGCAAAATGTAAACAAAGTACATGTAGTATTTTGACTTCCATCAAATTATTTGAAAGACCCTGCTTCCATACAAAATTCTAAATCTCTATAAATGTATAAATACCAAAAAAAAAAAAAAACAGAAGAAGAAAGGTAATTGGCCACTGAGTAACCTTTTGGAAAGTATAAAAGAATACAAAAAAATAAATTTTTCGCCCCGATGTACTTCCGGTAGTCAGAGAACCCGACTAATAGTCTTACTTTTTAATATAATCGCCCTTTACCCACCTGTGATCCAACTTGTTTAACCCTTCAAAATAGAACTCTCAATTTTGGTCCTCAAAGAATATATTGACCGCCTCCATGACACCTTCATTGCTCCCAAAACGTCTACCACGAAGCTTTGTTTTCAGTTTCGGAAACAGGTAGAAGTCAGAGGGGGCCAAGTCCGGAGAATATTGGGGATGGGGAAGAATTTCAAAGCGACAATCAGTTGCAGCAGCAATCGCAACTTGGGATGTGTGAGGTGGCGCATTGTCATGAAGGAGCAGAACGCTTTGAGTCAGTTAGCTCCTCTTTTTACGCGCGATTTCTTGAAGGATGCCTCAATTTGTCTGCATAGTACATACCGTTTA